TTCTATGATTACTGTACCAAATTCCCACAAATCTAGCAGCTTAAAATGACACAGATGTGCCATCCTGCAGCTCTAGACGTTAGAAGTCTGGAATGGGTCTCCTTGGGCTAAAACCAGTGTCTGAGCAGGGCTGTGTCCTTCTGGAGACACCAGGGACAATCCGATTCCTGCCTTTTCACTTTCTAGAGGCCTGCACTCCTTGGCTCTTGGCCCTTTCCCCTGCTCTCTGCCTCCCTCCTCCACCTTCAAGGCTGCTGTGATTGCAGCAGGAGGGAGAACTCAGGCTCCACTCCCTTCTCAAGCTTAGCTGCAGAGCCACCTCAACTCCACCTGCAACTCCAATCCTCCTTTGCCGTAACCTCACATTGGAACACGTCCCTGATCAGGGCGTGGACATCTTTGGAGTCTATTCTTCTGCTGACCACATCAAGGTGAGGACCCTGTGTGGGGCCAACTTTCAACTCCCAGGAGGCTTTGCACTGCTCACTCATCAACCATCAAATACCATGCTGAGCAACTGTCCTTGAGGTGATGCGGTGAGGACTGGGGTTGAGAGCCCTGGAGAGGAGGGGGCCTGGCCCTGACGTCCATAAGAGCAGCAAGGATGCAGAGCAGAGAGCTGTGTGCTCCCACAGCAGGGCTACCCTCGGAGCTTCCTCACTGCAAGCCTGGTTCCCTGTCCTGGCATAAAGGGCTCCATCAGCTCCCAAGAGACAAACAAGAGCAAAGGGGCAAAAGCCTCTTTCAGAACCGTCCTAGGAAGACCAAGTGACAGGCAGTCTGCAGTCCCTGGGAGAGACGTGGCCCCAGCCTCCGTGCTGTGTGCCAGCCTTGGGCCACCCCAGGTCAGTTGCTGGGATGAGCAGCCACACAGACAGATCCAATCCTGGTGCCGCATTGCCCTAGCAATGCCAGCTCACCTGAGCGACATCCTATGCTCACAGATGACCACAGCTCGCTGCCATAGGAAGAGTAAAGGCCACATGACACTTGGGGACAAAGTCATAGGACAAAGCCCGCAGCTCATTGCTCTTCTGGCCTAGTCATGGTCAGACTGCTCAGGAGCAAAATGCCCTGAGCTTGGGTCACCTGCCATGTAGCTGGCAGAAAGCAGCTCATCTGCTTTGCCCTAGAAGCCCAAGCAACAAAGAGCAGGGTAAGGTGAGGCCTTGTTAAACACAAACCAGACACAAGCACGTAAGGATGGCTTTCCTCCCATAAAACACCTGCTGTGGTGCCCCTCGGATGAGGCCTGAACTCCCCCTCCTCAGCCAGCCATGTCACCTCCAGGTCCCCAGCCAGGTCCCCTTCAGTGTTGTTATCCAGGGAGCCCTTGATCCTCTGAGCTGCAGTTAGCTTCCAGATGTGGACTAACACAGCAGAGAAAGGTATTTCTGTGCACCAGCCTCGCCTGCAGCGCTCCCGTGGGAAAAGTCATGGTGCAAAGAAGCCCCGGAGTACAAGTGAGACCGGCACAGCCAACTCGTATGTGAACTGTCGAAGGTGTTAACTAACACCGGTGCTGAAAACTTGGACCATTTACTAGGAAAGAAAAGACCCTGAGACATGGCACGACAGTCAACGAAACGGGGCTGGGGGAAACCTGGAGACCGGTTGAGTGTGACTTTTCTCCTCCGACTGTCCGACTGTCACTGATTGTGTGGCTCTTCCCTGGAAAATCCCAGAGCCTGCGCCTCCAAGGAGAGACCATCTGCTTTGTGTTTCTTCACTGCAAATGCAAACACCCTGTTTTCCCCAAAGGGCCAAGGGAGTTGGGCCAGGAAGGAGAAATTGAACTTGGATGTGAGCCAGTCTCTGGGCTGGAGGAAGAACTAAACCCAAGGCAAGAAGGAGGCAAAGCCAGCCAGGAAACCGAGTGGCCCAAACCAAAGTAGACACCCACAGCTCTCACTGTCTGTACTAATGTAGTAGCAATCGCCACAAAACAAACCAGACTTGGGGGGGCAGCATAGGGCCAACACCCCAAAAAGCATCAGCCCTGATCTTGCTTAAAGAAGGCACGTTAGTCACAGAAAGCAAATGGTGAGAGGGTGGCAAAGGACACTATGCTCGTCCCCTCACCTCCAGAATGCCAGGGGGTAGTGACCAACTACAGACTGCTGAGTTGAGACACTCGTCAGGGATAAACCAGCCTAAAATGAGCCAAAAAGTGCAAGCTAGCACATACAGGATGGTGGCCTCTCGAATGGCCAAGATAGAAGGACTGGAAATGTCCTCCAAGTCTCTGCATTTATGTCCATACGGGTCACCTGCTCTACACATCGGCTTCAAACACTTGTGTGTACTCGCCGCCCAGGCTCACAAGAGAAGGACATGCACCTCAAGGGGACAGTGGGTGTGGATGCTTTCTGTCCCTTTCCTTGCACTCTCCATATGGCAGAAACTGAACTTTGTCCTCACGTGGCCCGATTTCTCTCATCCTTTGAGGATGGTTATGTAAATGAGTAAAGGATGTATTTCGGATCAGATCTCACCCGACAGCTCCTAAAAGCAGAGTCATCACAGAGGCAAAACTAGGTGCCCAAAGGTCACACAGCATCAAGGATAACAATAAGGTCAACAGGAAATCAAAAACATCTCTGGTGAACAAAGCGAGCAGAAAAAGATGCTCAGCCTCCTTTTCCCTGCTTTTGGAAAGATTACCAACGTGTGCTTTCTTCCCTCTGCACTGGGCTTATCAACCGCATGGACGAAACACAAATGCCACCCAAATGATGTTTCATACCCCATGCACCAGAAAAATCCCCTTCCCGCTATAAATCCTGTACAGCAGGCGCCCTCCTCCCCTGCACCTTGACATTGTATGACACTAACTATGCAATTCTCACCAGAGCAGACTCAGATCTCAAAATAGTCCCAGTCCCAGTCCCAGGGAGCGACAAGCTAAAATTTTAGAGGAGTTTTGTGATGCCAGGCAACCTGGTCTGTCCTGGTCCCCAGAACAGCCTGAAGGGGCCGGGCCCCCAGCCAGGTTACAAAGAGAAGACTGTAAACAGGCCAAAGGCTGAATTCCACATCTGAAATCCAGATCAGCTTTTCACCCGAGGAACCACACATGCAAGGAGTCAGAAAACAAAACCCTGGTGATTTTACCAAGCTAGCTAAATGTGAAAAGTCCAAGGATGGCCATTAACAGTAATTAAAACTGGTTAAAAAAAAAAAAAAAGCACTTGGGGCTTTTGGTAATCCTTTGAAGTGACAGTATTATTCTCATTCTACAGGCGGGAAACCAAGGCACAGAGGAATTAGTCACTGGTGGCAAGGTTTATTTGAACCCAGCGGTCTATCTCAGGAGACCATGTTATAACCATTGCACCTTGCTGGTCAAGACTGGGGGCAGGGGGCCCAGTGCAATTGCAGGCAGGCTCTACAAACCCAAGGGCTGTTCCTCAGACGCCTTCATTCTGAAGCCTGGGATCAGTTTCACAGAGAACTAGTGATGACGTGGATGCATCCTGCTTCTCTGCCTTCTTGTGAATCACTTAGCAAAGTGTGTGTGTGCAAATGTGGGTCCAGTTACAGAAAGGGAGGCATAGGCTTTTTGGAGCTGGGACATCCTGTGCCTGAGGCCGTGCTGGGTCCACTCCTAGTTGCACAAACCTGGGGAAGTCTTGGGGTTCCCACAGAAAATGAGGATACACCACAGTCCCGCTCAGGGGTTTGCTTTGCGCATGAAACAAGTTCCTATGTAATAATCAGGAGCAGTTAACACAGCCACCACAATTGCTGCAGGATTAAATAACTCCTGGGGAAGAACTTCTGTATTCTGAGATTCTGTTTACCACGAACACTGCACATGCAAAAGAATGGGCTGAAAAAAAACCCCACAGTGGCTACAAACACCCCACAGTGGCCACACAGCCCACCATGAGCCTTCGGACACAGCCAGCCACCAAGGAACTTCGAAGTTAATGCCATATTCACCGTCTTAACAATCCCTTATTTGCAAAAGCTTTCATGGTTCTTGAAAGTGGTTAATATTCACTATTGGTTTTAATGCTTCTAGGGAATTTCTAAAACTAACACACAGATTCTTTCAAGTTCTCCCATCAGCAGGTGAAAGATTTGGAATGGAGCTCCCCAGTCCACTCTGCCCTTCCGCCCCACCACATCACCCCATGGCCCACTCCTTTCTAGATAAAAGGATGAAGTGTTTCAGGTAACAAAGCAAGCAGATACTTAGGATGGAGTCACAGGAACACCAATCAGCCCAGCTTCCACTATGAACTTGACAGAGGCCAAAAAAAAAAAAAAAAACAAAAACTTATTTACAGGGAGGAAAGAGACTTTCAGTAGCGGGAGAGACTCTCACTAAGTCGTTTCTATTCTTCTTTTTCTGAGCTAGGTTGCGGCCAACATACGAACCAACTTTCGCGGGTGGGAATAACAGGATTTTAAGATTCACCGCTTTCTGGCAGGGTTCCTGGGGTTATTTTTAGCCATCTTAAATTGCTCGTTTTTCTTTCTTTCTTCTATCCTTTCTTTCCTGCAGGCAAGAACGGGGAGAAGGCCCAGGCCAAAAGGGAGTGAGTCCATCCTGACGTGTGGATCCTAACAGCCCAGCGGGTCCAACCCTGCAGGCCGGGAACGCTGGGCGCGCTGGCCGATGGACGGGACGCCACGCCCGCTTTGGGGGTGGGGGGTCCGCGCGGGCCAGCGCCAGCACCCCGCAAGTTCCCACTGGCCTGCTCTGAAGATCCACACAGACAAAGACCGAAAGTTCCCAGGCCCATGGCTCAGGACAGGCGGGGACCGAGTCTCCCCGAACGAGGCCCACTCCCACGGTGGCGGGAGTCCCCGGGGTGTCCCCGGAGGGATCCGGGTCCTTCCGCAACGCCCCCGCTCCGCGCGCCTCCGCGCCCGCAGGCCCATGCGCCCCGCGCGCCCCCAGCCCGGCCCCCAGCCAAGGGGCGCCGCCCTGTCCCCAGTGGACCCCTCGGACCTCACCCCCGAGACCCCAACCCAGATCCGATACCCACCCGGATCCCGCCGCGGGGACCGGATTCGCGCCGGCTCCGGGAGCCGCCACCTCCGCCACCGCCGCCGCCGCCGCCAGTGAGGCTCCGAGGGGCGGGGACACGCGGGGAAGGCCCGGCCCCCAGCCCGCCCCGCGCCCCGCCCGGCGCCCCGCGCGCCTCCCGACCCCGGCCCGGGCCCTCGTCCCGGCCGGCTGAGCTGCAGGCCTCGCCCGCCACCCGGGTCCCCAGCGGGAACTCCCCCTGCGTTTGCGCCCTGCGTTTCCGGAGGAGGCCGGGACGACACCCAGGAGGAGGCGCTGGGTGCTGGGGATTCCCCGCCAGGACCCCCGGGTGGGGGGTGAGGGGCGCGCAGCCCCCCAAGGATGGAGGGGGAAGAGCGGGAGCCCGGTTCTTGACACCTGCCACCCTGGGGTCAGGGGTCGTCCCCGGGGGGGTCCCTGGGCATCGGGGGTGCGCGGCTGGGCGCACGTTGGCACCGTTGTCGCCCTCCGGGAGCTGAATCCGGGCAGGGCAGAGCTCGGGCACAGGTGGCGATGGAGGAAAGGCATTTCGATGCTTTACCATATTTACGTGTCTAGATGGCGGGTGCCGTGTGCACGTGAATGGCACAATGGCCCCTGCCTCTTCGCGCGCGTGGTCCCGGCTCAGCCGGATGTTGACGGCGTCGCCTAGCAACGCGAGATGGCGGAGCCCGGCGACCAGACTAGCGGGTAAACCCGGTGGAGGGGATTTCGGATTTTGGAGCGGCCAGGACATGCTCCTCGACCGTCTGCTCCTGAGTAGCCTCCGTGTGGCTCCCTTGGCCGCCATCTCCCATCCCTCCCGCCTCTGTCCCTTCTTTGCCCCACTTTCTCGGCCATTCCGACCCTCCCCGGCCACCGCCCTCCTCATGCCCCTGCTCCCATCTCACCTCGGGTTCTTTGTCCTCTCCCGCCCTCTTCCCCCACTCGCAGCTCTGGCCTCCCTCGAAGACCCGAGGCTCGCGCGCCCTGCAGTAACCATGACAACCTCCGGGCTTGGTTGTCCCCGGCTTGCACTGCTGGGCTTGGGTCTATGGGATGGTGCCCAGACCTTGCGTGGGTTACAGTTGCTGAGACAGGGACCTGCCCAGCTCTGCACCTTCCTCCTGCAAGACTAGATCCATGTCACATGCTTGGGGGGACAGGGACCTTGGGGAGGACCTCGGGTCAACGCTGTCTGGGGCCCCTGTGCTTGCACTTAGTGCACCTAAGTGGGGTTGGTGAGGTGAAGGTTGGGCAGCCAGCTCTGTGCTCTTCTATGCTTTGTGTAAAACGTTAGAAGCGATTTAAATGGTCCTATCTTTTGCCTTAGACACGTCTGTGTTGTTTCATTTTTTAAAAAATAGTTTAGTGTGTATTGTACTGGCAAGGAAAGAGGTGCAGGTTACATCACTGAGAAGGGTAAATGTAAAATAATGGCAGACAGAGGATGTAGCTCAGGGGAACAGTGCTTGCCCAGCATGCACCAGGCCTCAGATTCCATCCCAGCATTGCCAAAACAAACCAACAAAAACAGAAACCAATACGTATACTGTGATCTCTAATTTTTTTTGGTGGGGGTTGGTTGAGTGCATAAAAAAGCTGAAAAAAAACAGGTGTACCTTAAATCACACCAGTGCTTGACTTGGGAGGCAGAGGGAAAGTCACAGAGCCTTCATTGTCTGTGACTCGCATATCTGTATTAGCTTGGTTAAAAAAATTTAGCTTGTATTTTTAATTTTTAGAAAGCCAGAATAGAACATGGTGTAAATCATGACATTCTTAGACAACGCCCATTGTTGAGAAGCAGAGTCCAGACTTTGTCCTCTCTGTATAACATCCTCTGCGGTGTCCTGTCATGACCCACTGCTCCTTGGAGGCTTCCATAGTTACATTTTTCACTCATTCTTGGAGCGAGTTGTGGCACCCAGGCCATCTGATAAGTGTCACCTAGTTATAGAAGTCCTGGCTGACAGCCGAGGGGAGGCGAGGAGGTGACCAGGAGGTAAACAGATGCCCAGAAGGCAGGCGATGGTGCGGGCCAACTGTTGGGCTTTCTCTGAAAGCAGGTCTCACCTGGAAAGCGAGTCAGTGTCTGAAGAAGAGGAGGAAGTAAACACTGAAGGCCACAAGGTAAAGTTCCCTCTGGGAAGTTATTCTGGGTTTGGCTTTCCTAGGAGGCAGAGTCAGGATTTGGTTTGTCCCTTTTGCCCTGGGACAAACTCAATTCAGAACCAGGGAAGCATTTCCCTTTTTATTTATTTATTTTTTTTTTGAGATATTGGGGCTTCAACTCAGGGCCTCCACTTTGAGCCACTCTACCAGCCCTTTTTTGTGATGGGTTTTTTTGAGATAGGGTCTCACAAACTATTTGTCCTGGTCTGGCTTTGAACCAAGATCCTCCTGATCTCTGCCTCCTGAGTAGCTAGGATTACAGGTGTGAGATACTGGTGCCTGACTAGTATATTACTGTTGTACTGGTGATACATTGTGACATTTACCAAAGTTCTTATATCTTAGTTGAATTCACCCCTCTGTCATTCTCCTTTATCCCCCCTCCCCCATTCCTGGAATAGTTTCACCAGGTCTCATTTTTCCATTTTTATTCATGGGTACATGATATTCCACCATATTCACCCTCCTACACCCTTTCCTTATATTCTCCCCCCTCCTACTGGTGCCAACCCTCCAGATAGGACCTGGTTTGCCTTCCTGTTCTAAAGTATCACCAATTGTCCAGGAAGGTCAAGGATATCCAACCCTTGGATTACCTTGAGTTTCCCAGCACTGATTCCGGCACTAAACTGTGTAACACGATTATGGAAAACAAAGAGATAAATTAAAGCATGAAACTAACTCTTAGCCATGCAGAGATGTGTGTAAAAGCGTTTTCCCACCGGGCCAAGTACGGTATTAAGTATAAACTTCACTTGATCCTTTATACATTTTCCTGGGTTTTCTCTGGCATCCTGTTAACAGGTATCACCGCCGAAGAACGATGACCAGAAAAGCGAGGAGGCTGTGGGTTCCACGGAGAGTCCTGAAGAGGAAATCCCAAATGAAGGTGGAGGGGAACTTCCGCCAAATGAAGGGGAAGAAGAAGATGCCTGGGCTGAAGAGGCAGTGGAATTCATGGAGGAAGAGGAAGCTGAAGAGGAATTCTATTCCTTCCTCGAAGACATGCACCCCAAAGAACCCACCAGCCTTACTGAGCCCGGCCACTTCAGTCCCCAGGAACTGCCCAAAGAGGACGGGGACATGGAGTACCTGGATGAGCCAGCCAGAGAGCTCTCAGGAGAGGCCATGAGCAGCATGGTGAGTGTCCTGAGTTGGTGCTTTGCTGTCCTCGTGGGCGGCTTAGAGACACCGTTCCCCAAAGCTGCAGTTCATGCTGGGAATTTCTCAGAGTCTACTGTCCGATGCCAAGAGAGTCTAGGCTCCTCTCCTGAGTCCCCCAAACCGTGGTTGGTGACATTCCGTAGCTACCATCCATGGAATGGCACCAGGTTCCTCTCCTCCAGAGCAAGGTGGTCCCATCAGGAGGACACAAGTCACATGGGGTCATGAGCTCATTTTGGGAGCACTTAAAAAGTAGCGAGTGAGACAAGAGGAACTGAATTTTTTTTATTTTAAAACATTCTATTTAATTAACATTTAAATAGTGACCTAACCTATTGGGCAGTAGAGTTCTATTTGAAATCACTGAGAATAGTTACCTTCTTATGCTGTTTTCGTTTTTGTACAGTTTAAACAGTCACACACTTAAAGAAAAATGAAGTAGCACAGAAAATGCTTTTGTTGGCGGTACCGGGCTTTGAACTCAAGGCCTTGTGCTTGGTAGGCAGGTGCTCTCCCGCCTGAGCCACTCCTGGAGCCCATCACATTTTGTCTTCATAAGCACTTGAGAGTAAGCCATCTCTCTGCTGCACCGCACCTCCGAATGCATTTACGAGTGTTTACCATCAACAACCACGGCACGAGATCTGGGAACAGGGCCGGGGATGCAGCTCACTGGTAGAGCACCTGCCTCACCTGCTGGAGGACCTGGGTTGGAGTCCCAGAGCTCCACAGCCAAACATCTGGACATTGCATTGCTGCATTACTACCACAGAATGTCAGGCCTCATTCCGTTTTACCAAACGCTCAGTAATAACCGAAGGGGGTGCTGTGCCTCCCTTGCAGCTTCCAGGCAAAGCAGTGGGTCAAGGACACCCTTTCCTGATGACCTTCACACTGAGCGAAAAGTGCCAGGCTGTGCTGAGGGTATGGCTCAAGTGGTAGAGCGCTTTCCTGGCAAGCGCAAGGCCCTGAGTTCAAACCCCACTGCCACCAAAAAAAAAAAAAAAATGGCTACACTTGGTGGCTCAAGCCTGTAACCCTGGCAGGCAGCAATGAAGAGGGTCAAGGTTCAAGGCCAGCCCAGGCAAGACAGTTAGTGAGACTCCATCTCAAAGTACTATGGTTTGAACTCAGAGCCTTGCACCTGCTCTGCCACTTGAGCCACACCCCCAGCCCTTTTGTGTTTTAGGTATTTTTTCCAACAAGGTCTTGCATTTTTTTTCCCCTGGGCCAGCCTCAGACCACAGTCCTCCTTCCTGTGCCTCCTGTGTGGTTGGGATCACAGGTGTATGTCACCATTCTCAACTTACTTGTTGAGAAGGGGGGGGGAGTCTTTGTAAACTTTTGCCCAGGCTGGCCTTGAACCACCATCCTCCCAAACTCTATTTCCTAAGTAGCTAGGATTACAGGTGTGGCTTCAAAAAGTGGATATTTATTTAGAATGCAAAAAATCACAACAGATCATTCCACTTATTGAAGACTTCTTATTTCTGCCCAGCAAGGTATACTGGGGGTACACTCCTGTGTACATCTTTTGCCAGATTTGTTCCCCGAGTAATTTTTCATTTCTTGCTGCTATTACAAGTGCCTTCTGATTATTCACTGCGGGCAAACAGAAATACGACTGAGTGCTGTATTTTATCCTTACGTTCTGCAACTTTGCTAACCTCCCTCATTTGAGTCGCTTCCTAGGAGAACCTTTAGAGCTGTTCCGCAGATGATGTCAGCGTCTGAGAATAAAGGCAATAAGCTTCTGCATTTCCAACCCACTTGCCTTTTCCCTCTTTTTCTTGCCCGATTGCTTTGGCTGGACTGTCCAGCACCATGCCGGCACAGGTGGTGAGAGCGAGGTTCTTGTCTTGTTCTGGCCTCATGGGCAGTGCCTTCCATCTCTCCCTGTTGAGCATGATGTCAGCTGTGGGGTTTTAGGTGCCCTTTCCAGGCTGAGCAGTTTCCTAGTTTGTGGAGAGTTGTGGACTTTTTGGTGTTTTTTCATGAAAGAGTGTTGGATTTTCTCAAAAATTTTTCTCTATTGAGATGATTGTATGGGGCTTCTCTTCTTTTTTTTAGGTTGTTAATTTGGTAGTTTATACTGACTGGTTTTCAAATGTTGAAACATTCTGGGATGAGCGTGGGGAGCTGTGTTGGAAATGTAGCAATGTCCTACTTCTTAGAAATTCATAATTTACTAATTTATTTAAATCTGTGTGGATTTATGGTGTCCCACTTTATTCACTGTGCTGTTTTTTTGATGCTCACATGGGCCCTAACTTGGCCAGTGGGAGCCCCTTGTGCCTGGACTTGGTGTCCCGTTGATCAATCCCCAACATTCTTTGAGCACTTGCTTGTTTTCTGGCCAAACTTCCCAGGCCTAGAATCAAACATTTCTCCAAGAGCCCTGTGAACTCAGGTGTCAAGATATGGGTGCTGGGAGGTCCTCATTGCCACTGGGTGTCACTGTCCCCAGGTCCTCTCTACAGAATGAAACAGGGATGTGTGAACGTGTTAAACTACACCCACACCCACATTTACACACGTGGCATGCGTAGAGACCTACATTTATGGCTGTATTCCTGGAACACAGCCACTTACACACACAACACACACATTTGCATCTCCATGTATGGGACACTCCCCCAGCCGACACCAACACCTCCTGTTTTCTCCTCCTCCACTTTTGGGGCTCCTTCCCCAGCACTGAGAAGCTGGGCCCCGGTGACTTTACTGCATTTACTAATGCAGCCCACCTCCCTCTTACTCTGCATCTCCCCCCGCCCCATGGCCTCACACGCTCCTGAGCTCTGAGACCTGCCCCAGGTGGGACACCTGACCTCTGAGGATTGCCCTGCCAAGCGGCCCCTTCCTTGCATGGCCCCACCTGTGGGCTTAAGATCTCAGTTGTTCTGGAAGGGCTGCGGGGAGAGCACTGACCCCCACTCCTGTACTCCAGTGTACACTGTCTCAGTGAACCCCAACGACGGCCCCCAGGGGTGGGAGCCATTTTCACCCCAACTGTACAGATGAAGAAACAGAGAGGTGAAAGGAGAGGTGAAGGGAGAGGTGAGGGGCCTTCCCGTCCAGGACCATTTGGGTGTCATGGCAGTCAGTAGCTCTTGCTCTGAAGCCACCATACTGAACCATGAGAATGGCCCCTGTCTCCCCGACCTGTGAGAGCTGAACGAGTTCATAACTCTGGAGGACGATTGGATATTTGATGAGCTCCAATGAAGCTCAATGATTACAAATGACAAATTACAACCAGAATGTTAGACTGAAAAGCACAGAGATAGACAAGGAGACGGCACAACACTGGCCCAGGTGTACTCAGAAGAAGCAGCAGAGGGGGTCTCCAGCAGACGCCAGAGCCCAATGCCACTCACAGACGGGCGTTATAGGAGAGGAAGGACCTGGTAAGAGGTGGGGGGATTTTTTCACTGTGGCTTGCCCGTTGACCATTGCTAGGGGTAGTTGAGGAGCTGGGTCTTGCGTTGTGGCCCAGGTGTGGGAAACGAGCCCGTCTCTATGGGGGTCAAGGGCCAAGCAGAGTTTACGATGGCCTAAGTGATGTCACGTTGAAGCCTAACACAAAACCATTCTTAAGGGCAGGTATTGTGGCTCAGTGGTAGAGAACTTGCTAGCACTTGTGAGGACCTGGGTTCAACCCCCAGCACCACAAGACAAACAAACAAAAGTCACTTTTTACGAATTTACCCAGGGCAACAAGTGAACAGTGCTCTTCCCCTTTTGTGGGTGAAGTGCAGGTTGCTTCTAGCCCTGCTGACCCAATTTTCATCCGTGGGCCCAGTTTCTGGAAAGTTCACTGGGATGTGGTTTCCAAGTGCAATCAAGCAAAGGGCAGAGACAAACCCTGAGAGCCCCACTCCCTTCCCCCTGGTGCTCAGCCTCGAGAGGAAATAGGGACAGTGACACTGGGGGTGGTTGGGTCCAGCCGTATGTGTGGACAGCTCACCAGCTTCTCGCCAGGAGAAGCTCCCTCTGGACACTTGGAGGTGGCTTTGGCCTCTGGGCCCCATCACGTTTCTGTGGCTCTGGTGCCTCAGAAATAATTTCTGGAGTCACATCACTGAGGAAAGGGCGGGGACAGGGACTGGGGCAGCCAGCACTGACCTGCCTTCAGCTGGTTTTGCAAACACAGATGAGCTCGTCAGCTTCCATAGGCTAACTCCTCCCACAGACAACAGACATGACCAGCGTCTGCCTCGAGGGATGGCCAATACGATATTTGTAAAATGTGCTTTGTGGGTAGCAGAAGTGCTGGGGCCAAGATTCAATAGCTCCCCCACGGCAGTGATGCCAGCCCCTAATAATCACAGGTGTCTCTTCAAAAGCCAAAACAAAGCTGGGCGTGGTGGTGCACACCTGTTCCCAGCACTCAGGAAACTGAGGCAGGACAGCCTGGGAAAGAACCTGTCTCAAGAAAGAAAAAAAAAAAAGTTCACAGAAAAAGCAAACAGAGACAGAGGCCAGTGTTTATATCAAAGGAAGACGTTTTCTCGTAGCATTTATAGGGGGTGGTGAGAAGGAAGAAAAGGGAGACAGCCCTCTGGGCCCCGGACCCGTGTGCTCAGCGTGTGGCACTGAGATTCAGGGGTCCGTCCAGGTCCTCACGCACTGTGCACCGGTAGTTACACTTAGCTACAGGTCCAGATGGGCAAAGACCACTCCTTGTAGACAAAGGCTACATTTTTTCCATCTTGACCATTTGCAAAAACCAAATCTTTTTTTTCTCTCTTTTTTCTTTCTTAGACAGGGTCTATGTAGCCCTGACTGGCCTCAAACTGGCAATCCTCCTGCCTCAGCCTCCCAAGCGCTGGGATTACAGGTGTGCGCCACCACTCCTGGCAAGCCAAATAATCTTTACATCCAAACAATTACCTACTGCTTCAACGATCATGTTGAATTTTGAACAATGTAATGAATCAAAATCAAATAACTTCTCAGTCGTGACTGAGCCTTGCGTTGGTCATCTTCTCATTATGGAAGGAAAATCCTGACCTGACTTATTTACAGAGAGGAGGTTTATTTAGCTTGAAGCTTTAGAGGCTGAGACTCCAAATGGTATAGCAGAGGCTCTGTGACAAGAGCCACTCATGGCCGCATCACCTGACGGCACAGGTAGCAATGGTGGAGGCCGTACGGAGCAAGCAGAGTAAGTCTAGGTGCAGAAAGCAGAGAGTGGGGAGGGGGGCGGGCGCACTGCATTCATAACCCCTCTCAGCAGAATTTAAGGGGTCCCAGGGGAACCACCTTCTCAGGGCTCACCCCAATGACGTAAGGGCCTCCCACTAAGTCCCACCTTTTAAAAGTTCTGCCCCATCCTAATGGCAAGACTGTGGGGACCAAGCTATCACATGAACCTAGTGGGTGAGGGGGGCAAAATTAAACTGTATCTAAACCACAGCAGCCTTCATTAATTAGTTGGGATTATTCTTGCCATAGACAAAACTCCCAGGAGAACCCCAGCAGAAAGCCTTCCCTATGGGGACCCAGCACCGCTTCAGACCGAGCCGAGGGAGCAGCGAGGCATCTTTGGAGGGGGCCCAGGTCCACCCGAGCCAGCAGCACCCCATCCTGCAAGAATCAGGTACTCTGTCTCCACCCGTGGTCGTCCTGGCAATGGGATAAGCCCCTTACACGTGCCCTTCCGTGCAGGTGAGGTCGCTCCTTCCACACCTGTTACCTTGTTTCCTGTAGGGCTGTGGGGCTAAGGATAAAAGTATCCCCGGCAGATAGGATGGCGTTTATTGAGCATTCAGTCTACTTTAACTTGCTCAGTCCCTACACTAACCCCCCCAGAAGGGAGATCCATGTGCGGATAAGGATCCTATGAGTCATTTGATAACTTATCCGAGCAAGTGGAGAGCAGAGCCAATGGTGCCCCAACCTGCAGTCCCATGAGCACCACCTCCTGCTGCCTCCTGGTCTCAGAGCAGAGCCCGGAGACAGCATCTCCCACCCGCGCCTCTGTCTGCCGAGTGTGGAAGCCTGCCTGGTGCATACCTGTGTCTTCACCTGACTCCCATATCCCTACAGGGAGTCCATGCAGGAGCAGATGGAAAGATTACTTGTCCCTACAACGCAAGGCATGGGGGATCCAGCTCATAAAACCTTGCAATATCCATAAGTGACGTGAAAATAGCTCCTGCCTAGTGAAAAAGAGAACAGGACCAGCACGGCAACACACGTCTATAATCCCAGTAACGTGGGAGGCGGAGATAAGAGAATCACTGCTTGAGACCTGGGCAAAAGCTGAGACCCTATCTGAAAAGCGAACTAAAAAACTGGTGGCTCACACTTGTAGTCTTAGGTACTTGGGAGGCTGAGGTCAAGAAGATCAAGGTTCAAGGCCAGCCCGGGCAAAAAGAAGTTTGTGAGACTCCATGTCAATGGGAAAAGGCTGGGTGTGGTACACGCCTGTCATCCCAGCTACTGCAGGAAGCATAAATAGGAGGTGTGGTCCAGGCCGGCCCGGGGAAAACGTGACTCTATCTCTAAAATTAATTAGAGCAGAAAGGGCTAGAGATACAGTTTAGGCAGTAGAGAGGCTATCTCTCAAGTGCAAAGCCCCGAGTTCAAACCCCAGAGCTGCCAAAAAAAACCCAAAAAACCTAAAAGCAAAAAAAACCTGGGGGTGTGGCTGAAGTGATAGAGCACTTGCCCAGCAGATGTGAGGCCCTGGGTTCAATCCCTGCACCTGGTGGGGGATAGAACCAGGCCTGCGGGTGAAGCTCCGTGGTACTTGCGTGACACACACGAGGTCCCGGTTCAATGCCCAGCACCAGAAAAAAGCAAAAACGAAAAACTCCACAGCCACATGCTGTAGTCTGGCTGCTCAGAAGGTTGAGACAAGGGCATCTTGAAGTCCAGGAGTTCTAGACCAGCCTGGGCAACATATCAAGACCTGGTCTCCAAAAAAAAAAAAAAATCCACAAATAGAGCAGGATCGTTCATGTCTTTTTTTCATCTTGTCAGCTATTTCTTTTCATTTTTTTAAAAACCCCAAATGAGTCCATCAGTAACTAGCCTCCTTTCTGTTCCCTATCCATGATAAAGAATTGTGTACAGAATAAATTGCTTTCTTGTCTACCTTTAAAATGTGATTTTTAGCCGGGCACTGGTGGGTCATGCCTGTAATCCCAGCTACTCAGGAGGCAGAGATCGGGAGGATGTCAGTTCAAAGCCAGCCCCAGACAAATAGTTTGAGAAACCCTATCTTGAAAATACCCAACACAAAACAGGGCTGGCAGATTGCCACGAGTGGCAGAGCACCTGCTCAGCAAGTGTGGGGCCCTGAGTTCAAACCCCAGTACCACCAAAACAAAATGAAAATGTGATTCTCCCTATGGCAAGGGGTGAAGAAGTTCTGAACCTCCAGCCACTTGGATGGCTTTCCTTTCTCGTTTTCATCGTGTCCCCTGAGGGTGCAGCCAGCTTTGCTGTCGGCTCTCCCAGAACACACTGCTGAAGCCCCCAGTGACATTTGCTGTCCTCTCCCAGTGGGGCCTGAAGTCCCCTCCCAGGAGGGAGCCCAGCCGACGATCTTGGACCAGATCCAGCACATCAGCAACGAGGAAGAGGAGGCAGTCCTGGTGGATGCAGTGGAGTCCGAGGGCATGGAGGAGCTACAGGGCGAGGGGTCCCAACTGGTGGTGTTGGACCCAGACCACGTAAGAGAGCCTTCCCGGGTTTTCCTTCCCCCTTCACAAGTTAGAGATAATTTGGACCCTCTGACCCCCCGTGCTGTCTGCCTCACCACTCACTGTGCGGTCATCTGCACCTTGGGCCTCCTGCGTTGCAGAGCGAGTTCTTTTAGCTTCATACACCGAAGTCATGTGTCAGCTCTACTGACATTGGGGCCACACCCTTTGTGGGCATTGTGGGGTGTTCAGCAGATGTTCTGACCTCTGTTACTTTATGCTAGTAACGCCTTGACCACCAAAAACGTCCCCAGACCTTGCAGACGTTGGAGAGTTGAGTTCTTGACAAAGTCACTCGCACTGAGAGCCCCTGCCTGAGTGCATCAACCAGACTGACGTTCTGCAGCCTGGCCCCTGACATGAGGCAAAGACACATTTTGATTTGAGTGACCCTGGTGTGAAGCTGTACGCTCCAGTTGCATGGGAAGGAGCCCTGGGTGGTGCACTGGGGAATTTGTTGAGTGAACATTTGATGTTGGCATCCTGCCCACCACTCATCACCAACTTTGGGACCCCGGTAAATCTCGGTGGACCACTGCAACTCACCATCCTTTTGCCAAAACATGCACCCAATGAGACCATGAGGTGCCTTGAATTTGTGACTTCCAGAGTAAGAATCCCCAGAAGATGTGGGGAGCAGCCGATGTAGAAACCATTTCTGTGTGCCCCCCACCCCCCACCCCCACACAGAGAGAGGGGGAGCTGAGCCCTGGGTGGGCGAGAAGAGTGACCACCTGTGGTTTCTATTGTTTTAGCCCCTGATGGTCAGATTCCAGACAGCCCTGAAGAGCCACCTGAACCGACAGATCGACAAGCTGAAGATGGAAATCCAAGAACTGGTGCGTATCATTTCGGTCCGTCCTCCACTCAGCCTGGGCACCCGTGCCCCGTGACCTTGTTTTTCTCTCTTTCTGGTGCAGGAGGTGGCCAGCAAGCAAAGCCTCGTCCAGCGGCAGGAACTGGGCGTGACTCTCTACGGGGCCCAGCAGCGCCTGGCTCGCCTGCAGATGCAGCTGGAGAAGAGTCACGACCGTCACTCCATCGTGGCGAACCAGAGGAGGCGGAAGGAGGAGGAGCTGCAGAAAGTGCGCACACTGTACACCAAGACCTACGCGACGGCCAACGAGGAGCGTAAGAAGTGTGAGTAAGGTGTCCTACGACCCGTGGGTGTCCCCATGGGGGTGTCCCCTGTGCCGTGTGGGCCAGGTGCATGCAGGTCTGAGAGGGCCAGAGACCCAAAACCAGGAGGATGCAGGGGTCTGCAGAGGATAGAGGTGAGCGCAGGCCAGGAGCGCAGAGCAGGGTGGGTGGGGCTCTGAGAGGGGCAGATGCAGGTGAGGCCAGGCCCTGGTGCGCAGTCTGCATCGGGGCAAAGGACTCGGGATGAGGAAGACGGGTTAGTGCCGCCAGGGACTCAGGTGGCTGTGGATCAGGTGTGATGCGTCAGGTGGAATGGGAAGGGCTGTGAATGTCACATGCATCATTCCTACCACAGCCACACTCCTGCCACCGAGCAGAGGGCAGGGGACACAGGACACAAGGAGCAGCAGCTTCCTTGGAGGCTACAGCGACCGTTTCAGACTTCGTATGGGTATTTTCAGCATTTCCTATCAACTGTACTGCTGATGTGATAGGGAAGTATTCTAGAATAATCGGGAAGGATGCAGACCAGGGTGCATGTCCAGCTGTCCTGGAAAGAAACCCTTGGCAGCCTGGGAGTGCAGGAAGGAGGGTTCTGGACTGGCAGAGTCTGCTTCCTGCTGCTGTAACGGCACAGCACGGGGACATCCAGAACAGAACAGGGATTTCTTCCTCTCAGTTCTCTCGGCCTGGGAAGTCCAAGACTGAGGGGCCCACACCTGCCGAGTGAGTTCTGCGTTGTCCCCTGGCGGAGGGGCAAAGAGAGAGGGGAGTGAGCAAGAGTGAAGGAACCTGCAGGCTGGAGCCCTCTTATAATCTCTCAGATCCCTCCAAGGGTGGCACCTTGTGACAGGAACACCGCCCGTCGGCCCCCAGCACCCCACCCTATTGCGTGGGGATATGTCTCTAGCACTTGCTTTTTGGGGGGCACATCCAAAGCATGGCATTTATCAAGAGCCTCTCCCCAGTTTCCGCATTGGAGTCTGTGAGCCCCGTTTTCCGGATGTAATAGAATTTACACCAGGCTGAAGGCAGATCACGCCCCAGCCCCAGCCTGAGCAGCACCCATGCTGGACAGCGCCCCTCTGCCTCGGCGCACAGGTGGCCCGGCTCCTGCAAAGAGCCAGACCCTCCGTGGGTCTGGTGTGATCTGGAGAGGACCAGAGCTGGACAAGGATGGCGGCGGCGGACAGGACCGCTTCTCCCTCCTCAGCACTAAGGAGTGTGGGTGACTGTCCCAGCCCTGACCTGGGGCCGCAGCCACTGCACTGTGCCTTAGGTGAGACCTGGGTTTGTCTCCTTGAGAATTCTCCCAGCCACCTGCCTCATCTGGGAGGGAGGCAAAGCCCACCATCAAAATCTGAGTCCCCAGTGGGCCACCAGGGGCTCAACAGAGCAAACCCAGCTGTGGTCACAGACTGATGCAAACACGGCGTGGGAGCACAAGACGTGAGAGGACTTCGTGTTGTGAATAAGAACAAGTGTTAGGGAGAGGAGCCTCTAAAATTGGATTATGATCGCCACCCCTCCAAGGCACTGAACAGACAAGCGAATACTGTTGAAAACAGAGTGAGAAAGAGCAGTTGGAGGAATGCACCCTAGAACTGAGAGCAAACCCCAAATAACAGAAGTCCTGAAAAGGGGGTAAGACACAGGTGACAGATGTGTAAAAATCGGTGTCCATGTGACAGGAACTAGAGAGATGACAGGGTCCTGAGCGTGTAGAGAGAACATTGCACGGAATCAGGAAAGGCAGACCTTCCAGCCAGAATTAAAAATAAACATGCCTGTGCCAGGTGTGGTGGCCACACCTATGATCCCAGCACTCAGGAGGTGGAGGCAGGAAGGTCACAAGTTCGAGGCTAGCCTGAGCTAGGTTATGAAACTCTGTCTCAAAGGACAAAATAAATACATAAATACATAAAATTTAAATGCCTAATCATAGCCGGTGAACTTTCCAAATTCCAAAGGCAAACGAGAAAATGGCCCAGGCTTCCAGGCAGGATGAAACCAGGTGACCCTGAGCTGTCTTTGAATCCAGGTCTCTTGGTGTCCCTGGGAGGAGCTCAAAGCCACTGCACCAGCAGCCTGGACTACCTGTCCACTTGTCCTGGGAATGGCCGGGCAGCCATCGTCTGTTTCTTGTTTTTGTTTTGTTTTTAAAGTCTTCCAGACCATTCTAACATGCAGCCTGGTGTGGCCATCACAGATCTGAAACATAAGGGGCAGTGTGGTGACGCTCGCAGAGCCTCGAGGAAGAAGAAACACAGGCCATGACGGACCCGAAGTGAGCTACAAAGATGGTCAGTCCACGCGCGAGAACTTCCGGCTCAGCCAAAACTGCTCAGATAAAACCCACAGGCGTATATTATTTTATTTGCATTCTTGTAATCAAGACCGTTGATGTCAAAGCCTTTCTCATTGGAGAAATTTGAAATGTCGTCAAGAACTCCTACAAGTGCCATTTGCAGGTGGTAGCCCCCAGAAGCTCACTCCATGGAAAAACCAGTGCCTGAGAGACAAGGGTTGGGGAGAAAGATGCCTTTGGGGCCAAAGAACGGGGAAGAGGGAGCGATGGCACCAGGTCAGCGTCAGAGCCCTAGGGGGTTGAGGGGTTACAGCAGAGAGTAAAGAGGAAGGGACACAGGAGAGGAATACTCATGACCTTTCTGGGAAGAGAGCTCAGGTGCCACCTCTTTTTGCTCCTTTTGTGGTCTGGTGTTTTGGGTCATGGTGGCTGGCTTGTGCCTTTGAGGGGGAGAGATGAGGCACATATAGGTCAAGTTAACCCTGTACTGTAGTTCTAGACAACACACTTCTAAAATGTTCAGTACAGAGCTCGGCAGGATCTGACCCAAAGGTTAAGTCACAGAGGGGACAGACACAATTGAGGACAAGACACACCAAGCCTTCTCACCCTGCTCCAGTCACCCATTGGACCGCTGCAGGTCCCAGTGAAGAGTCAGTGTTTTCAGCAAAAATGGACTTCAAGTACTTACAAAGTAAGCTAGGCAACTGCTACCGTAACCCCTGTGTAGGCGTTACCTACAGCAAAGCTCGTGGGACACAAATAATGGGTCACCAGCTGTATGACCTCCAAACTTAGTGAACTTCAAATTACTAAGAGTTAGTGAGGCTGGAGGGTTCGTTTAGTGTTTCCTCCGTCACACCAAGGAAGAGAGAGTCACTATGGAGGTCGCCCGCACACCTGAGTGATTCTGAGGGCTAGCGGGGAAGAGGCTTTTCCTTAGTAACACTTCAAGAAACAGACACCTCCAGGGGCAGAATTTTTGGAAACTCCCCAGGCTTCTATTGCTCAGAGAGATGCTTATTGCAAAAGCCGGCAACACACAAAACCAGAAAAGCCGAGCGCAGTCTCGCTTATGAGGTGTGAAAATCCTCTGTGTTAGCAAATTCGTTTCAGCAGTGTATTAAAGGAAAAATACCCCATAGCCAAGCAGGGCTTACTTCTGGAATGCAGGAATTATTTGTGCTTAGGAAATCTACTAACTTAATGTGTTATATTAGCAAATGAAAGGAAGAGGGAAAAGGCTTTGGGATCGATGCCAGATGGGTGTTCAATAAAACTCATCCATCCCAAACTGGGACAGAAGGGAAGTTCCCAGGTTTCTCAGAACCTAAAGGGAGCCCCAGTCTGTGGAGGGCCTCGCAGCTGGAATCAGGAGTGAGATGTCAAGTCCCTTCCAGCACCACGCAAGGTCCCGGCAAAGCGAGAAGACAGGAAAGAAACGAGAAGCGGATCTTGAAAGTGGAGGACTGAAACTCTCAGCCCGCACCAGGGATTGCTTACTTGGAAGATTCAGGAGAATGATGAAAGGAAAGCTAATGGGAACACGAGGTGTCCCCAAAGTAGTGGGCACCAGGTGTGTCTTTTGCTTCTGTACGAGTAACACCCAGCTAGGAAGTGTAATTTTTTTTTTATAAAAGATCATCCAGTACAGCTATAAAAGCACAAAATACTGAGGAATAAGTCAACAAGAGGCGAGGAAGCCCATCTGAGCTTTGCTAAAAGAGGAAGAAATTTAAGTGAACGAGAACAACAGTGTTGCTAGACGGACAGAAGTGTGTTATAAATACACCGTTTCTGTCTGAGTGAACAAGTTTATGAAATTCTAATCCAGGTCCCCAATGGGATGCTTTTGGTGAACTTAAATTTATTTAGCACAAGTTTTTATTCACTTATTTTAAAACCGGAGTAATTCAAAATTCAAGAGCTGTGCCGTGAAAAGCTCCTCCCTCCAGTCACCCAACCGTCTTGTGTAGTTTCCTTTTTACACAGGGTCTCGCTGTGTGGCCCAGGCTGGCCTTGAACTGGCGGTCCTCCTGCCTCAGCCTCCCCTGTGCTGGGATTACAGGTGTGCACCACCACAGTCAGTGAGCGTGTTCTTTTGAAAAAATGTTTGCATGTGTGAGCAAAGTCACAGCGTGGGTGCATTCATTTTTTTCTCACTTTTTTGGGCTCAAGTGGCTGCATTTTATACCCACTGCTCTGTTCCTTGCTGTTTTCACTTCACAATGAGAGCTGGAGATTATCACACACACACACACACACACACACACACACACACACACGAAAAACTCTTCGTTTTCCATAAATTAATTTTAAAGTTCACTTGGAAGACCAAAGAGTATCCAAAAAAAAAAACCTTTTTTTGATGGTACTGGGGTTTGAACTCAGGGCCTCCGTCTTATTAGACAGGAGCTCTACCCCTTGAGCCACGGCTCCAGCCCCCAAGAAAATTTTTGAAAAGAAAAGAAAATGAAAGAAATTTTTGGTAACATGTATAAAAGCATCATATATTTATCCCTAACAATAAAAACAAAGCCATTCTGCAGGACAGACAACAGATCCAAGGAAGAATGCCAAGTAATTAAAGTGCACCAGGCAGCGTTTATTCCAAAGCTGCTATTGCAAGCCATCCAGGTTGCATTTTTTAAGTCACTAAATGTTCTGTTGACATCTAGCTACCTGAAAAAGAAATCCTTATATTCCTACTTTGCCCCATACAGAAAGTAAGAGTCGGATACAGTAAGGGTTTAGCGATCACAGGAGCGTGTGAAGAATGTACGAGGTAATCTCTCATGACCTTGGAGTGAGGGAGGTCTTTCCAGGCACCAGACAGAGTTCAGAGGCCACAGTGGACTTGGAAAGACTTGCTCATACAGAAGCGTGAAACAGATCTGTCGAGAAGCACAAGAAAGCTACACGTCAAAGGCAGGTTAGGAATTGAGCTTTTGAAACTCCCATGGCCACATTAGTTTTCTGCGACTTCCAGTAAACTGTCCCAAAGTTAGGTCTTAAAACCACCACCTTCCACATTACATCCCAGATCTGTGGGTCACAAGTCTGCCGTGGTGTGTCTCTGCAGAGGACATCACAAGGTGACACCAAGGGTGGGTGACATCTCTCATGGCAAAGTTCTGGGTAAAATCTGTTCCAAGCTCATGGAGTCCTGCTTCCTTGCTGGCCCTGGTGGCCATAGGCCTGGGGTCCCTGCTTCCTTGCTGGCTGCCAGCAGGACTGTGCTCAGCTCCTGGAAGCCATCCAGGCTCCTCACACCAGCCCCTGCGTCTTCCAGCCAGCAATGGAGAATTTGTTTATGTAGAACCCATTCTACCCCATAGTCTTTCTGAAGTCTCCTTTTGTCACCAGCTCAGGGAAGCTCAAAGGACTCACCTGCTCGGCCAGGTGTAACATAATCACAGAGTAACGACAGGGAGCAAAGCCATGGGAGCCACTGAAAACTTCTGCCTGCCACGTTTTTATCACGTAAAGAACTCTTAGGAGCAAGTCAGCAAAAGACTAAAGTCCATAGCAGGACAGCCAAGGAGAAGGGCGAGCGATTCAGAGAATTTAATTTACCGCTGGTAATTAAAACACGAGAATGGATTTAGCATCACTAATAGTTGAAGGGATGAAAATTTAAAAGACTATTTGAGATTGAAATTTCAATTTGAAATTGGCTTTTAGTTACTCAGCTGACAGAGCAGGGGGTCGGACTCTGGGCTGTCAGCACGGCGTGGATCCGCTCACCCTCCGCGCTTAGACCGGAAGGTGACTCAGCTGTCTCTGGCTGTCCTACCAACTTCCCCAGACCTGGCAGCTTCATCAAGGGACATTTATTTTGTCATGTTACGGAGGTTGGAAGTCTGATCAAGGTGTCAACTTCTTGACTGGCTCCTCCTGAGGCCTCTCTCCTTGGCTGGTAGACAGCATCTTCTCCCTATGTCCCCACAGGGTTGTCCCTCTGTGTGTATCCTGATCTCACCAGTCAGATTGGATTAGGGCCATCAAAGTGACCTCACTGCCCCTTAATCCCCTCTGTGATGACCCTATGGACAAATTACTGTCACATTCTGAGGTGTGGGGGGGTGAGGGCTTCAACACAGATTTGGGGGTAATGCTCAGCCAATAACAGACGGTAAACTAGTCCATGTCCTCCAGCGGTGACTGGGCAGCACAGTCCTCCAGACTGGGTGTGAACACACTTTCATACATGTCCACGCGGGATCAGCTCAAATAGGTGATGGTTAAACTGGGCGGAAGCACACATGGAGGGAGCGCAAGTCCCCATAGCAAAATTTTCCCAGAATGAATCGGCGAGAGGAAAAGACCGAAGAGGAAGAAGACGGAACAGAAGCCCAGTGAACCGAGAGCGCGTCAAGCCGCTAACGCACGGGTGCGTGAGAGGACCAGAGAGGAAGAAATCACGGATGCAAAGCTCCCACATTCGGTGACAACTATAAACCCAAGATACACGAGGGGAACCACATGTAGCAGGTGGCAATCAGATGGACTAAAACCGGGAAAAAGAAAACCTTCACAACAGGAAGTCCTGCTGCACAGAGAGGCACCGGAGCCCACGTCACACCGACCTCCACCCTGTGCCCTGCTCCGCTGTCCTCCTGCCCCGTGAGTCTCACCATGCAGGAGCTAGAGTGTCCTCCAGCATTGGACATTTCACCACCATATCATCTTTAAAGACTCCTTTTCTAGCATAAGCTATGTCCTTTGAGGACCCCTGACCCAATGTGACCTGCACCCAGCAACCTCCTGGCCTGTGGCTCAGTCTTCTGTCTGAGCCGTCCTCTAAACTGGGAGTGCTCGCTGCGTGTGAGCAAGCAATTCTCTTACTTATTCTTACTTACTTTTGGGGGTGCTGGGGATGGAGCCCAGGGCCTCATTGAATGCCAGACAAGCTCTCTACCACTGAGCCACAGCCCCAGCCAGAGCAAATGATTCTGGATTGGGGTTTAGCTCCCTAAATAAATTGCCATTCTGGCTTCGTACATACCGTGAGTTTTGTTCAAAGGAATGAGGCGCTCAGGGGCTGTGGATCGGAGCAGGGTAGAAAGTGTCGCCTCCTAGAGGCCCAACCCCAGAGGTTGGCTCACCCTTTTGGGCCCTGCAGGGCAAGAGCCTCAGTGGAGCTCAGCCTGCCCTCTGCACTCTGTGGTCCCCCAGGGGTCTGGGGACTCTGCCTGAGCTGGCTAACCTTTACTATGTACCGGACAAGAGGCGTTGTAATCAGACCCTAATCCTTAGGCCAAATAGGGGTCTCTAAATTGTGTGGGAAATGCTGCAATTTGTGGACACGGATGACACATATTTGGGTCTCTTTCCTCTCTCCAATTAGATTGTAAATTCTCTGCCTGCAGAGCCTGGGTCTTTATAGTTTAAAAGTAGTTCCCCGCATTCGGGAGGCGAGGCAGTCTCCATTCCCCCCACGATGAGGGGCAGGGTGCTGTCCCCCCGCCCTGAGGTGGTGCTGGGCCCCAGGAGAGCAGATGGACCATGCTCTGCCCTCCCCTCTCTTAGCCTGCCCCTCCCCTCTCCCCAGTGGCCGCCCTGCACACGGAGATGGAGAACCTGGCTCTGCATGTCTTCTACGTGCAGAACATAGACCAGGACGTGCGTGGTGATATCGAAGTGATGAAGCAGGTGGTGAAGAAGGCCGAGGTGGAGAGACGGCGGGCAGAGGTCGAGAAGAAGAAGCAGGTATTCCACAAACCCCAGGTCGATGACCACCCAATCTGCAAATGTTCAAAAAGGCATCCAGCCTTGCCGCTCCCCGGAGAGGCCTCCGTGGCCTTGTCACACTGGCTTGGGTCAAGGATCAGGGGACAGTTGTCCCCAGACAGGGATGAGTCCTTGCTCTTCCTCTTCTCCGCCGTCTCCAGGATCTGTTTGTGGACCAGCTCACCTCGCGGGTCCACCAGCTGGAGGAAAGCATCAGTCTGCTTGAGGCCCAGCATGTCACCCAGGCAGAGGACACCCGGCTCTTAAGGAAGGCGGTGAGCGAGGTAAGAGCAATCCCCATCCCACAGCTCAAAGCAGCAGACACCCTCATTTGATCCGGAGTTACTGTGACTGTTTTCTTCTAAACTCAAGTGTCCCCACATTCACAAGTGCAGTGCCAGGAGGAGAGAGGACTCAGTGTGGCAGAGCTGCCTGACCTCTCCAGCCTGGGAGCATAGCAAATCCTGCACCTGTTACAATCAGACTCTCTGGGGTGGGAAACACCATTTTTTAATTTACCAAGTGGTTTTTGAGTTTATCTGATGCAAAATAAATTAGGAGAGCTAAGTGAGAATCGTGAAAGGGAAGAGTCCTATAGGGTGACTGTCCCCGACTGCCCTGGACCGAGGTTTCCCTAGACCTAGGACTTTCCCTGATGAACCCAGAAGAGTCCTGGGCACATCAGGATGGGAGCCACTCAGCCGGGCGCTGGTGGCTCACGCCTGTAATTCCAGCTACTCAGGAGGCAGAGATCAGGAGGGTCGCAGTTCAAAGCCAGCCCGGGCACATAGTTCACAACACCCTATCTTGAAAAGAAACATCAAAAAACAGGGCCGGTGAAGTGGCTTAAGTGGTAGAGCACCTGCTTAGCAAGCGTGAGGCCCTGAGTTCAAACCCCAGTACCACCAAAAATAAATAATTAATTAAGTAAAACATTCTACAAAGCTCTGGAAGCTAGGATAACATGTTGCTGGACTCACACAAGGACAGACAGACAAGCCACTGGCACCTGTGCAGAACCCCAAACAAACCAAGTTTGCATGAAAATTTAGTAGATTACAAACTGGGAGGGAAGGAATGAATTATGCTCCCAGTGGTGTCAGGACACTTGGTTAGCTATTTAGGAGAAAAGATTAGTCTTTTCCTCAAACTAGCTGCTAAAATATATTCCAGATGGAATCAAGCATTTAAATGGGAGGAGTGTATAGTGGTAGGACGGAGAACCAGAAGAAAGCAAAAGGAAAATATTTACCTACCCCTGAGTTGAAGAGACCTTAAGCAAGCGTCACACAGCCATCAGAAACCTTAAAGGAAGGGATGGGGCAGGTGGGCCACGCCAGTGATACAACTTTCATAGATTAAAGAACAGCCATGAACAGAAGGAAGAGAAGTGGGGGGGCCGGGGGAAGACAGACTGATAAGTTAGCACATTTAGGGGATGTCTCCATCTGCTTTCTGTTGATAATGGCTCAAGACTGGGAATGGATAGCTAGATAGATAGATAGATAGATAGATAGATAGATAGATAGATAGATAGAAGATAGATAGATAGATAGATAGATAGATAGATAGATAGATAGATGGATAAATGATTTTTATAACTGAGGTAGCTGGGCATCACTGGCTCACACCTGTAATCCTAGCTACTTGAGAGACAGAGATCAGGAGGACTGTGGCTCGAGGCCAACCCAGGCAAATAGTTTGCAAGACCTTATCTTGAAAATATCCAAGACAAAACAAGGCTGGTAGAGTGGTTCAAGTGGTAGAGCATCTGCCTAGGAAGTGTGAGGCCCTGAGTTCAAACCCCAGTACCACCAAATAAATAAAAGAGGTTGGTTTTAGCTCGAGAGGTCTGGTCCAGGATGAGTGCCGCATCTGGTGATGGCCTTCTTGCTGGCAGATCCCGAGGCGATGTGGGAAGTCGGTGCCTGTCTGACCGAGAGCCAAAGTGGCTTTTAAAGATAAAAGCTCCGCATGAATCCGTTACTCGACCCATGATGGAGATCGCTTCTCAAAGGTCCCACCGGGTCCCGCCTCAGATCTCACCATGGAGATCAAATTTCGGCATGGCGTTGGGAGGTGGCTCAGACTGCAGCAGGGTGGCACAGGCTCTAGGGGGCCATGAGGAGTGCAGTGCTGGCACAGCGCAATGCTGCCAGGCCTCCTTCACCCCTCTCTGCAAGGCTCCCCAGGGCAGGGGCCTTCCGGGCTGGTGTCTTCCTTCCCAGCACCCAGAACAGTGGGTGGCCCTGGGCAGGTGCAGGTGAGCGGTCCGCAGATAAACCACTGGGAAACCGGTGAGCAGCGGCTGGGGGCTCCCCACCAAGCCTGCCAAGGGAAGCTGGCCTCCCATGGGACAGTCAGGGTCTTAGCCAAGGGCAAACTCCCTGCCCCTCCAAAATACCACTACTTGGACTTCCTACCAAGGAAACCACTCGAGATCTCTGCACAGAGCATTTTTGTGCATCGAAACCACCAGAAACAAAGCAAAAACTGCCATAAACCATCACAGGAAAGAGGGCGCCTGTCTCCATGCTGTGTGTTAGGAAGCAAAGTCCCCACAGAGAGGGGTAAACAAATGTGGACACACCCGTGCAGGGAACACATCCTGCCAAGAGTGACGCCTTAGTGACATACTGCACTGTATGTTTATCTGGCTGGGGGTGGGGACAGGCTCTCGAAGTGCAGCCCACACTGGCCTCAAGCTCCAGATCCCCCGCCTCTGCCTTCTGAGTGTTGGGATTATAGGCGAGCACCACCACACTAGGAGTTACGTTCATTTTTAACAGATTACAAAACTACGCCTAAATTATGACACACACACATACAAGAAGGTAACGGGCGTAAGACATGAGCAGTGGCTGGCTCTAACTGGTGGAGTTTTGGTCAGTTTTATTATCTTTTGTTTATTTGCATATTTTGATTACATAGAAGAAACTTACTTCCTTCTTTTAAAAAAATGAGACCCGATTCAGTGATCTTTATATCTGGACTGCACATTGGTCAGCCATGCGTGGCTGGCAACCTCAGGAAACGGCATGGGAAGGCATCCTCCACCCCAGAGCTGGACGGCCCAGCTGTCCAGCCTTGGCCGGCACACTTGCACAGCGCACAAACTGCTCAGCAGCACAGAGCGGACCTCCAGTTAATAACTTACCCCGACACAAAGATGTCTCTCTAGTCATAGAATAATTCATCCGTACAGTAATAGCGGCTGGATGATTTCCCAAACCCTCAGAGGCCTTCCTGCCCAGCACCGCCCTTCTACCTCCCCTTCCCCGGGAATGCTCTGGTCCACTGTGACTTCTTTTCACGGCAGAGTGTCCCATCCGGGATCCAGCATTGTGAGAAGACGCTAGGACCCCAAGCTTGGCTCTGCCAGCTTGCTAAAGTCCCAGTGATCTGTGGAAGGTTCATCAGGACCTTCAAAGTAGCAAGAGTTGACGCTGGGCAGGGCAGGCAGACTTCAGACCATCTGACCCAAGAGTCCCAGAAGCTGGTGCTGCCGTGGTATCTATCTCACATTTGGGGACACCGGGTGAGGCTCTTTGGCAGCGCACATTGTCCTAAGCAGCACATTGAGCCGTGAGCCCGGGCAACTGTACTTCCCTAACCTCGGCACCCCACAAGTGCATGATCCTCCTGGCCCGCGGAGTAAATTCCTCCCCAGCACACACACAGGCCCAAGCTTGCCCACACGGCTCCAGGGTGTCCAGCTGCCGCTCATCCTGCTCTCCCTCTGAACTCCTTGTCTACCCCACCCCCTCGGGTCCCCTCTGTGTCCCTTTGCCAGCGCAGGCAGTCTCTGCTTCTCCCAGCTCACTCATTGAACCCCTGGACATTGTCCACTCCAAATGCCTGCTCCGCTGAGCATGGGCTCCTTATTGGCAAAGGTGTCCAGCCCTGTGACCTCACCCCACATGGGTGACCTCAACCCAAATCTGTGACACCCACCAACACACCATGGTGTCTGGTGTGGTGTTCCGTGACACCAGCCAGCAGGCTTACGCACAACAGGCCCTGCCCAGAGGCTCGGGAGGAGCCTGTCCCAGGCTGTAGTCTCCTGTTATTCCTTTGATGGGTGCATGATCAAGAAAGTTAGGGTGAAGGATGGAAGGTAGCAGTGCACGCCTGTAATCCCAGCTACTTGGTAGGCAGAGATAGGAGGATCCCAGTCTATGGCCAGCCTGGGGCAAAATATAGAAGAGAAGAACCAATTCGGGTTATAATACATACATACACGGAAATGTCACAAAGAAACTCCCTGTGTAGCTATCTCAAACGAACAAAAATGTCATTGTTTTTTCTTTTACAAACTCGGAGAACAGGAGGTCAGAACAGGTCCTGCTTGGAGGGTGTTGTACTAGTGGCGGGGGGAGGATGTGGGGAGAGGATGTAGGAGGGTGAATATGGAGCAAATACAGTGTACATGAGTGTAAATGGAAAAATGAGGCCTGAAACTATTCCAGGAATGGGTGATAAAGGAGAATGGTGGAGGGGGTGCATTCAAGCATGATATATTGTAAATGCCACAATGTACCTGCACCCAGCACAATAAAAAAAAGAAAGCATGAGACCCTGTGTGAAAACAAGCTAAAAGCAAAAAGACCAGGCTGGGAGCAGGGGTGCAGCTCACGTTAGAGCGTTTGCCCTGCGTTCATTCCCCAGTACTGCCAAAAAAAATTAAGTTATTGTGAACTGAGCCGAAGCGGCTGGGCCCCGACACCCCCTCTCCCCTTGCTGTAGGCCTCCATGGAGATCGAGGCCATCAGCATGGAGAAGAAGCGCATCCTGCAGCAGTGGGCCACCAGCCTGGTGGGCATGAAACACCGGGACGAGGCGCACAGGACCATCCGGGAGGCGCTCAGGTACGGCCGCCGGGGTTCCACTGCCCCCTGGGGGCGGCAGCTCAGGGTGCCAGGTGGGCCGGGTGCGTGGGAACCAGGAGGCACACAGCAGGACCCCTCCAGGGACAAAGGGGCGCACCTGCAGCCCTGCAGCCCGGCTTCCGTCCCCAAAGCCCTCTCATTGTGCGAGGCTCCAGCCTCTCTTCAATCTGTTCCAGCTCCCCAGCACCTGAGCTGCAAAGCATTCACGGTGGATTTCCCCGGCAGGATTAAGAGACGGAAAGAGAAAGGGGTGTTTATCTTTGGGAGATAAAGGTGTCCCTTTGATCAGCAGTTTCACCACCTGAGTCCTGAAACTCCATCCTTCCCAGTTGTTCTGCCCCAGGGCTGCAGTCCAACCAAATCCTGTTTGAATTCCCAGTGAAGGGGGGGGGCGGGGGGGGGGGACTGTGTGGAGCTTGCACCACAAGATGGAGACGGGGTGCTGCCTTGATCCTCAAAACCACCGGGGTGATCGGGGCCTGGGGATTTGGGACCCAGAAAGAGACAGCCAGTTCTGGAGGTGGCTTGGGGCTTGTGGTCATCTCCATCTCAGTGTCGACACAGGGCTGGTGAGCAGCAGGTGCTGGGTGACTTGCCCACAAGGCAGCAAGGAGTGCGTGACTTTGTTCCATCCCGGGTGCACTCGGTGCTGGCCGCACAATGAGGAGGGAGAGATTTTCCGTTCTTGGGCCTGTGATTTAAATAAGAAGAAGGTGGGAAGATGTGTGATTGTTTTTAAAAACAAGACATTTTTGCCTAAATAATGCTGGTGTTAAACTACCTGTTTTTGCTGGGCGGTGGAAATGGTGGCTCATTCCTGTAATCCCAGCTACTCAGGAGGCTGAGGTCAGGAGGACCACAGTTCTAAGCCAGCCAGGCAAACAGTTCTCCAAAAAACCAACACAAAAAAGGGCTGGTGGCTTAAGGTGTAGGCCCTGAGTTCAAACCCCAGGATCATAAATAGGTGGATGGATGGATAGATAGGTAGATAGGTAGATGATAGATAGGTAGGTAGGTAGATAGATAAATGATAGAGAGAGAGAGAGATGATAGATAGATAGATGGATGGACAGATGTCCATTTCCTCCACTCAACAATATAAAGGCAAAGGAAGTTTTGTGGGAAATTCTGCCAAAGATTGTTTCCCCTTTAAAGACGCAGGTAGTGGGACCAAGGCTGGCTGTGGGCTGCCCCTCAGCTTGCCTTCTCAGCCCTGCCCACAGTTTTCTGGCCTCAGTGTCCCTGCAGTCTCCCTGTGCCTGCAAACTCAGGACAGAAGAGGACCTGGCCAGCTGCCTCTGTGGGCAGCTTTGTCCTCCTCCCCACGTTCATGCGTCAGACCAGTCACCTAATTACAAGGCTCAGACGCCTGTCAACCTTGAGTAAGGTCAAGGATGAGGTTCTCCATGAGGATCCAGCACTGGCCAGACTCTCCCCGAGTCCCCTGCTGGGCCCCAGAGGAAGGCGACACCTCAGAGACACTCCTGACGTCCAGCTCTCCTGTGCCTCCAGACTCCACCACGTATTCTCTGCAAACTGTCCCCCTCACCGTCCCTCCCTGTCTATTTCTGAAATTTAATCTTGAGTAGATAGCACAGTACCTTGGCTAGAGCCGTCGTAAGGTTGCACAGTGAGGCCCAGTGTCCTCCCCACAGCAAAGCTGTCCGTGCCATCTCTGCACACCCGTGAGCACCTTCCTGCCCCTCACTTCTTCCCCTAATGTCAAGCCCCAGAGCTGCTCCCGAATCAGCTGTAACTTTGCTGCAGTGTCTTTTGAGTCTGGGGTCCCTGCAAGCATTGGTAAGAGTCCCACACACAGGGTTGTCCCAAAGTCCCTTGGCAACTCAGCATGTTGTCACACCTTACAATGGTGCCAGTCGGATTGGTGAAGAAAGCAGGTCATCTTGTATTTGAAACGTGCGTGCCAGTGTTGAGTGACCTTTTTACAAGTCAAAGAGCCTCTGGCTTCCCCCTTTTGGAAGGATCCCAGAGCCCAGGGGTTCAAGGCCAGCCTGGGCAGCATAGCAGGACCCTGTCTCAAGAAACAAAAGCGGGAGCCAGGCAGGGCTGTGGAGGTGTGCGTCCACGTGCAGATGGATTTGGAGGAGCGCATCTGACACGGTGCAGCACAAGGTCGGCTTTGCCCAAGTGTCATTGCACCCATAGGACGTCAGGCCGGAGCAGTGACTGTGCTGCACCGGACGTGACCTCTGGTGACACTCCTGTTAGTACCCAGGACCAGCTGGGTACTGCCACCCAGTAGCAGGCTGTGGCTCAGACCCACCCCCGTCTGCGGCGTCACTCATGTGACTTGAACTCAGCAGAGGCTGACACAGAAGCAAAAACTGTGGAACTCGGGTGTGGCTCAAGTGGTAGAGAGCTTGCCAGCAAGCACCAGGTCCCAAGTTCAAACCCCAGCACTGAGCAACAACAAAAATCCAAGTTCTCCATGTGTGCTGTGGAGCACAGCAGATGGACTGAGAGAAGCCAGGCCTTCAAGACAGCCCTGCCTGCCTCCTCCTCACTCAGAGCACCTGGCCAGTCCACACAGGAGGGAGGCGCCCAGCACCCCTCACCCCAACCTCGGTGGCCTTTCCATTCAGCTTCATCCCTTCAAAATGCCCACCTTAAGTTCCAGCCAAAAGTTGCTCAAAGCCCGTGCGTCTTCTCTGGCTGTTTCCTGCCCTGCCCTGTGTCACAGGGCTGTTGTACTGTCATAGAAACTTGGGGGAAACACAAGTCACGTGGTTCAGTCTCTATAAACCTGCTCCAGACTGTCCCCACCGGAAACAGAAGGGTTGGCCTCCACCTTCTGGACTTCTTCCCCTAATCCTAACAACCGCACGATGGCACCCCGAAGGCCCTCCTGTCGGCATGTGGGGTCAGCTGCCAGCCCATCAGAGCGAAGGAGGACAGGATGGGGTCACAGTCACCACGGGGAGTCCCAATCCTTCTTACCCCTGGCCCTGGGGCCTGAGAAGCAGCATCTGAGATAGCACTGAGGCAAGGTGACCATGCTGCTCAGTGTGTGGTCCCACAGACCCGGAGTCTGTCCCTGCTGTCCCTGCTGTGACAGGGAGGAAGGAAGAGAGGAGAGCAGGGGTGGGCTGGGGTCCAGCAGACAGGGCCTGGTCACCACCAATGTCCTGTGCATCCAAAGATGCTGGTGGCCATCAGACTACCTGGGGCTACAGCATGAGGACAGAGAGCACCCCGTTAGAAATGGGTCCCCACAGGGCCTGTGGACGAGGCCCTGCAAGATGGCTCCAAATGTTCACCATGTCCTGCTTCCTGCTCAGGAGGCAGGACAGCTAAGGCTGACCGCACAGCGGCACCACTACGCCCAGCCCTGGGACCAACTTTTCATATGACTTACCGCTTCATTATTTTCTATCGATAGCTGTGAACCCAGGAAGTCTTTAAAGTGTACTTTTTCAAAGGTAGTTTTTCGTGTGAGGCGCTGGGGATCAAACAGGGCCTCCCACCTGCTAGGCAAGGGCCCCACCACTGTCATATCCTCAGCCTCGCTTGTCCTAAATTATTTTTAGGGCTGGGGTGCGGCTCAGTGGTGGAGCGCTGCCTAGTGTGCAGGAGGCCCGGGATTCTGTCTCCAGCAGCACAAAAAACCAAACCAAAACAAGCAAACAAACAAACAAAACAGTGATCACACTGCAAGAAATGAGAGAGCGAGAGCGCGCTTTAACACCGCCCTCCTGTCCTCAAAGTTTGTGGCTGCCTGTCTGAAAAGCAGGCGCCTTACTTCTGTCATCAAACCTAGACATTTACAGTAAGCCCGGTTTACTGAGGATAATTTATGCACAAAACAGCCTTTTCCGGAGCACAGCCCGGTGAGTTCTGGCAAATGGACAGAGGCGGGTCACTCACGACAGCGACCTTTCCCTCCCCCTGTCCTGGGGCTGGTCCTGGAGGGTCTGTGCTCAGGGCGCCTCTCTCTGTCCACCAGCTGTTGGACTTCCATCACCTCCAGCCTTGGAATGAAAGCGCTTCCCCGGCCCCACCTCTTCCAGTTCCCCAGGTGAACACCGGAGGCGACGGCCGCCCGGTGTAGACGCTGCTGCTGTTGTGCAAAGCAGCTCGTTCCTCCGGCAGTGGATCTGCTGCAGCCAGGCGACTTTAGCCATTAGGAGACAAGTCATGGCGTCACACGGGGGCTTTGATCTGCACGTCCCCGATGCCGAGTGATTCACGAACTCGTCCGCCATCCTAGTTCCTTTTTAGGTGAAGTGACTTTTGCTTGTTTTTAGGTGGAATGGTTTACTCTTATAACTGAGTCACAAGAGTCCTTCATATCTTCTGGACATAAGTCCTTTCTCAGATACGAGTTTTAAAAATATTTCTTTCCCGGTTCATGGTTTATCTTTTCATCTCTGTTTTAACAGTGCCTTTTGAACCAACAATTTAAAAACTTTTGTTTTTAGCCGGGTGCGGTGGCTCACACCTGTAATCCGAGCTACTCAGGAGGCAGAGATCAGGAAGACCACAGTTCAAAGCCAGCCCCAGGCAAATAGTTCTTGAGACCCTATCTCGAAAAAAATCCATTAAAAAAGAGCAAAAAGGCTGGCAGACTGGCTCAAGCAGTAAGAGCACCTGACTAGCAAGAGTGAGGCCCTGAGTTCCAACTCCAGTGCTGCTAAAAAAATGAATTGTTTCTGTTTTTTGAGACAGGGTGTCACTATGTAGCCCAGGCTGGCCCCAAACTCTCCGTACTGTTACCTAATCCTCCCAAGTGCTGGGATTTCATGCCCAGCCAGAAATTCAAAAAGTGAATTCAAAATTCAAAAGAAAGTCATAAAAACAGACTTCATTTTTATGAAGTCCGATTTATCAATTACTTTCTTTTTTTTCTTTCATGCTTCTCCAAGAAATTTTTGCCTAAACCATGGTTGTAAAGTTTTTTCTCGTTCATTTTCTGCCAAGGATGTTCTGCTTTTCGCTCTTTCACAACACCTCTTGCTATGGTGTGGGAAGGGGCCCCAGTTCAGTTTCTCTGAATGTCTATCTCTAGGTTTCCCAGAGCCACTGGTTGAAAAGATCCTTTCCTCACTGTCATATTGTGGTGGCTTTGTCAGAACCGATCAATGGGGTGTGTGTCTGTGTTTCCTTTTTGTGAGAGGTACTGGGGTTTGAACTCAGGGCTTTGCACTTGCTAGGCAGGCGCTCTACCACTCGATCCCCTCCTCCAGCCCTTTTTGCTTTAGTTATTTTTCAGATAGGGTCTCGTGGGCCGGCCTGGACTGTGATCCTTCCGGTTTCACTTCCTGCGTGGCTGGGATGCCAGGCGTGGACCACACGCCCATCCCTGGGGAGTCACACCTGACTAATATTGAATCTTGCGCTCCCTGGACATGGCACAGCTCTCTGTTGTTTGTTTTTGTGAGCATGGGTGTGCACTGACACACGAGTGATGTTAGAAAAGGCCAGAAAACTAGAGGTGTGTCCCAGAGAGGGTGACTAAATTACAGCACACCAGGCAGGGTACAACCTGAGCAGAATCAAAAACAATTAGGGGAGAGAGAGAGAGAGAGAGAGAGAGAGAGAGAGAGAGAGAGAGAGAGAGAGAGAGTGTGTGTGTGTGTGTGTGTGTGTGTGTGTCTATCTGTGTGTCTGTGTGTCTGTGTGTCTGCATGGTTCTGGGATTGAGCCAGGGCTTCACAGTTGCTAGGCAAGTCCTCCCCCTCTGCAGCAAGGCTCCCAGCCCTTTTGTTTTTTAATTTTGTCTTTTAGAGAGGGTCTTGCTAACATTGCCCAGGCTGGCCTCGAACTCTTGATCCTCCTGCTTCCACCCCCCCCCCACCCCCAAGTAGCTGGGATTGCAGGTGTGAGCCACCACTCCCAGCTTAGAATTAAAGAGGTTTCTACGTACACTGGTGTGGAATATCTCTAGGAAGCAGTACAAGAATAGCGAAGGTGCAGAGCAGGATGTGTGAAGCCACTGGTAGTGCTTTCTCGAGTGGGGAGAAATGCATGCAGGTAAACCCAACACGCACGTGCCCGTGAAACCCGAATGGAAGGGCGTTTTCAGAGCAGTGACAGGTCTTCCAATGGCCAAAGACTGGGAGGCCTATCTTAGCCTAAGAAGATGGTACTCTGAACTCTGGATAAGAAGTTATTTGAAGGCGAGAGGCTGCCGATGGAGGGGGAGTGCTAGGTCCAGAAGGCCTTCTCGGGACGGAGGGAATGTCTCACACAGAAACAGTGCCTGGATGCTCATGCCTGAGGTTAGTTAATCTTTACTCAGCTGCAGGCTCAGCGAAGGAGTGACGCCTTAAAATGGGAGCCAGGTGGTGTCCCCAGACACTGTGGACTTTGAGCAAGTCGATAAACGGTTCGAGCTTCAGTGTCCACACCTATGCAACTAGGGTGCCATTTCCCTTCAAGGATTATGGTTTTTTTGGCGGGCTAGGGTTTGAACTCAGGGCTTCCCGCTTGCAAACCAGGTGCTCTACTGCTTGAGCTACACCTCCAGTCCATTTTGCTCTGGTTGTTTTGGAGATCGGGTCTATTGAACTATTTGCCCGGGCTGGCCTTGAACCTCGATCCTCCCAATCTCAGCCTCCCAAGTAGCTAGGATTATCCCGAAAATTCCCAACACAAAACAGGGCTGGTGGAATGGCTCAAGTAGTAGAGGCCCTGCCTAGCAAGCATGAGGCCCTGAGTTCAAACCCCAGTACCATCAAAAAGAAAAAAAAAAACAAGATAAGAGTTGGTTTCCTCATTTATTTCTCTTTCTCCCGGGCGGGCACAGCCGCATGTCTGGTTCTGATGTCTCTCGTGCGACTGGCTTTGCTGTCCCCATTTCCGCAGCGAGTGCGAGCACCAAGCCAAGTCGCTCGATGGCGAGATCGAGGCCTACAAGAAATCCATCATGAAGGAGGAGGAAAAGAACGAGAAGCTGGCGGGCGTCCTGCACCGGTCGGAGACGGAAGCCAGCCTGGTGCAGAAGCTGACCACGCAGTGCCTGAACAAGCACGAGGTGCTGCGGAACGAGTTCACCGCCTACCGGCTCACGCTGCAGGACGCCGAGGACTCCCTGAGCAAGGGCCAGCAGGTGAGGGGGCCTCGCACCCCACCCGGCGACCCACGGAGGGTGTGTGGGGCTGCGGGGATGTCCACCCTGTGACTGTCCCCTCCAGGAGCACACGGCAGTGACGAGCCAGCTGGAGGCCGTGCACCAGGCCGTGCGCCACGAGCTGGAGCTGAAGCACCGCATGGACCGCTCCATGGCGGCCAAGCTGCAGGACCATGTGACCTCCAGCAAGCTGACCAAGTGCTTCCACCAGCTCCTGCAGAAGCTGCAGAAGGAAAAGACCAACCTGGTAGGCAGCTCCCCCGCGACATGCGTGTGCTGTGGGCCCCCGCGCCCCGTCCACACCGGCCAAAGCCGTGGAAGCCTAGGGCTCTCGGGGCGTCCACTCACCTCCATGTTTCTAGCTCATCGGGAGCATGCTGGCCCAGCACGTGCAAGGCCCTGGGTTCTAATCCCAGCTCTGAAAACAGCCACAGCCCCTGAGGATGCTCAGAAAGGTACCAAGAAGAAAATAAGACAGCTCCAGGCACCCCATTCGGGACAGCCATTTTTCTTTTTTGTTGGATTCTTTTGAGACAGGGTCCCACTGTGAAGCCCAGGCTGGCCTTGAACACACAGTCTTGCCGCTGAGATTACAGGCGTGCACCATCCCACCCAGTTTGGACACTTTTCTACACATACACAGGCAAATCCACACACTCATTCTCACACACGCACACGCACGCACACACATGCACACACATGCACACGTCAAAGGATATTGGGCCCTTGCTACACATCTGCTTTGGGTCCATCTCCATCCATATTTTTATTGGTCTTACTGAATCACGACACAGAAAAGTGCACAAGTAACACGCACGGGAGCCCGTGGATTTTTTCCTGTGTGGTTTTTCGCTTTTGCTTTACTGACAATATTCAAGTCCACCTTCTCCAACAACATGAATCTTCATTTCTGCGTGACATTTGGTCATGAACGTTTGGCAGTTCTCTCGCTGGACACCTCAGGCTGTCTCTAGGCTTTGAATATTGTGAGTCGCTCAGCGCTGAGCACCCTTGTTTACAAATCTTTGTCCACACTTCTGAGGATAAATCACAAAAGCCCAAGTCCTGGGTCAAAGGGTGTGAGTGTTGTCAACATACCTGAGCCTTCTGCCCCTGCAGAACACAGCTGGACGGGACCTTGCGGTTGACTTTCACCTACATGACTTGGGTTCCCCACACCCATGACATGGCCTGGGCTGTGGTTGGAGGTCCTTTTGTCCTTGGGAAAACTACTCCTTCCTTGAAGTTTTTTCTTCTTCCTCTTCCCATGGTGTGACCCCCTCTGGAGTGTCCTGTCTTGGGTGGGGTCCTGAGGAGGACCCCCAGAGGCTGCATCAGGCTTTGGACACATGCCCGCAGGGGCAGACTAAGCGGTCTAAGGAGGACGGGGCCCCTGAGTTTCTGGGTTCCTGCCATCAAGTGTGTCAACCACAGCCTGGGGATGGATTGCCTTGCTTTCTCACCTCCACTTATGTGATCCCAGCCCAGGCTCTTCTAGTCCTGTTCTTCTGGGGGAGGGACGTAAGGGGTCCTGCCCCAGCCTCAGCAGTTAAGGGTATGAGTCCCACTCCTGTGTGATTCTCGGCCTCAGCCTCCACCTGGCAGGGACCACAGGGTGGTTTAGTCCCAGGCCTGACACCTGACACCTGGGGAGGCTCAAGGTGCTTCTATCTCAGCCACCACTGTTGTCAGGAGAAGACACAGCTGGCCACTTACCTGGCCGCTGACTACTGGCCTGATTGTTCCAAGAAAGCGGGGGACACAGGGCTGGAACCAGCTAATCAGGAGCATCATCCAGCTGGCTCTCCTTGGGACTTCCCAATTCCCTTGGGAGGGAGGGAAGGCAGCAAAAGCATGTGTCCTGGGTACTTTTGAGAACCTAATGACCATGGTGGGTGTGAAGTAGCCTGCCTGCCCTTGTTGTGGCACAGCAGAAGCTGGTCCTCAGGCCCCCGGGTCCCTAAGTCCCCGCCCTACTTCTCTTTCCCAGGCGGCCAGAGGCCGGGCTTGTACTACCACCTCAGTCCAGCAGAGGGTGGTAAAGAGTCTTAGACCAACAAGTCCCTCTATGACCAGGATTTGCCAACAGACACAGTGGGGACACAGTTCAAAAGCCCTGTGAGCTGGTGGCAGATGGGTCAGGGTAGGGCCACACCTGGAGGAAGAGCAGAGGGTGGATGGGCTGGAGCTGTGGTCCAGAGGGAAGATGGGCAGTAAACTCAGGGATGGGGCAGATGTTCAAAGGAGCCCAGGGTGGTCTACATAGGACACATGCAGCCAGGGACTGGAGGAGGTGGCACGTTCTGGCTGGCCCAGCTGGTGACAGGAAGCCAGTGATCTGGAAATTGAAAGGGGCTCAGGAAGTTGAACCCCATAGGGGACAAGCAGGAAGAGGGGACAGTGAGCCCCTACGGGGACCTAGGTCTCAGGATGATCTTGAAAAAAGAGGAGATGAGGGGCAGGCTTGGCCAGAGGTGACTGGAGGTGCTAGAAGCTCTGTCCATGAGGTCTGGGTTTCACAAGCAGTGGGAATGGAAGGCATGGACCTGGCAGGGGGCACAGGAAGGGAAGCTGAGGACCCCAGAAGGCCTGGGATGGTGGAACCTGAGCCACAAGAGAGCTGGTGGCAGGAGCCGATGGGCAGTGAATAACCAAGACGCCACAGAGCCAGGCCAGGGGAGAGGACTCATCCCTGAGCTGACAGCCTCCACTGGCTCCAGAGCCAGTGCAGCAACCTGGGGCCCAATTCTCACACCTGTCCCCTTCATAGGAAGGGCTCTGAGAGCCCACCAAGAAGGCAGGGAGGGAGGCTGACAGGGCAGCAGTGGGCACTGAGCGGCCCCAGATTGCTCTCCACAGTAGGGTGTTCCCTATCCAGGACGGGGCCCAGCTTTTCAGTAAAATGGAATGACATACACCCTGTGAAATACAAGGCAGAATCATAGTCACACCATTCTTTAGAATAGGATTGTTTACAGCTGAGCCTGGGGGGCAAACGCTTGTAATCCCAGCACTTGGAGAGGCAGGAGTACATATCCAAAGCCAGTCTGGGCTACATATCCAGTCCCTGCCTCAAAAAACCAAAAACAAAAGGAGTATTTATAATGGATTGTGAAGTCAAGGAGGGCAACCAACTTGTACAACAGCCTTGGCCAGCAACTAGGTGCTCAGTAATTGTTCATCGGTTATGTCTCCTCCATGCTGGAGAGGGAACCCAGGGCCCCGCACATGCCAGGCAAGCGCTGTACCACTGATCCGCACAACCAGGCCCCTCAATTAGGAATTGCTAAAGGCAGGAGCCAACCTCCAGCAGCGCCCACCTCAACACCGTGTCACAGTTCAACAGGATATTGCACAAACATGAAACCGAATAAGCCTGGCATGATGGTTCATGCCTGTAATCCCAGCTAGCTCCCTGGGAGACTCCCTCCTTCTCTGGGATAGAGGGGGAGAAATGTTCAGAAGTGTTTCCTTCCACCCACCTAGGTGACACATCTTTCCAAAATCAACGGTGACATCGCTCAGACCACCCTGGACATCACCAACACCAGCTGCAGGATGGACATGCATCACAAGACACTGGCCGAGCTGGACCAGGAGGTGAAGAGAGTGAACGAGCTCATCACCAACAGTGAGAACGAGATTGCCAGGCGCACCATTCTGATCGAGCGCAAGCAAGGCCTCATCAACCTCTCCAACAAGCAGCTGGAGCAGATGGTCTCCGAGCTGGGGGTGAGGCACAGCCAGGGACAGGGATCTCCAGCTAGCTTGGTGTCTGGGGGCAAGGGGAATCTGAGCCCTCTGCAGCTCACAGAGGCTGGGCACAGTGGCTCACACCTGTATTCCCAGGTGTGAAGGTAGTCATCAGGAGGATCTTGGTTTGAGGCCAGCCCAGATGAAAAGCTATAGGGACCCCCCACACACACACACACACACACACACTTCAGCAAATAAGCCGAGCGTGGTAGTGTGCATCTGTAATCCCAGCTGCTCAGGAAGGCATGCTAAGCATCATGGTCTAAGGACTACTCTGGGCAAAAATGAAAGGCCTTATCTGAGAAATAACTTAAAAGCAAAAAAGGGGTTGGTGACATGGCTCAAGTGGTAGAGTGCCTGCCTGGCAAGCACAAGGCCCTGAGCTCAAAACTCTCAACACTACCAAAAAAAAAAAAAGAAGTGAGCTCCTCCCAAAAAATCACCCCTTTATCTCCCTCCTCATTTCATACGTGAAGTGGCTCCCGTGCATGTGCATGAGGTCAGCACACGGTTCCCTGCTCAGAGCCAGAGGGGACAGGGTTTAGGGCTGCAGGCCTTCCGTCTCTGTCACAGCTACCCAGCTCTGCCTCCTATGTAGCCAAAAAGGGGCTGTCATCTGGCTGTGTCCACTATGACGCTGCTTACGGCCCCTGGAATTTCAATGCCATGTCGTTTGCACCAGAGCACCAAGTCTTCCTTTGACCTTTCTAATGGCTGCTGCTGAGCCAGACAGACGGATGGTGGCTTGGATTTGACCTCTATTCTCTACTCTAGACCAAGGGGTCTTACGAGTTTGAGGCTCAATGTCCTACACACGCCCAAGCCCTGTAACCTAAGGACCCCACTACAGGAGGGGGGTCCTTGGTAGATGGGGGACACTATGATACAGAGCTCCCTTTGGGCTTTGAAAGTCACAAAACCCAGTAGACCCAATGAAGGAAGCCCCTGGCCTTGGTGGTCTGCTGGAAGCAGACAGTGTTCAGAGCTCCTATGGATGGCAGAGGGGCCACGAGCCTCTTAGGGCTTAGACTCCTGCCCTTGGAACCAGTGAACAGATGAGGGGCTCTAGCCCTCCCAAGAGCAAATGCCCGACCTCTGCAACCCACCCAAAGAGACCTCTGAACCCCTGCTGAATATCCTTTTTAGGGGGAAGAAGTTGGGCCCCTGGAACTGGAAATCAAAAGGCTGACCAAGCTGTCAGATGAACATAACACCAAGGTGACTCAGGCCCAGGTGACCTGGCTCCGCCTGCAGCAGGAACTGGTCAAAGTCACACAGGAGCACGAGGAGCAGGCGACATCCCTGGACATGCTCAAGAAGGAGCTCCATGTCCTGGAGCAGAAGAAACTGCGCATCGACAGTGAGGACGGACGGGCGGGCGGAGGACCGCGTGGGGCTGCCCGCTATCCCAGGCCCATCTCACTGTCGATGCTGTGTTCTGTCTCTGCCCCGAGCTTGGCCAAGCCGGCTGAAGGCAAAGGGCCTGCTTTCCCCAGAGGCTCACAGTGTCCCTGTCCCCATGTCAGGGGAGGGGGAGCCCGGCCATCAGCCCCATGCACCGCCCCCACCAAGCACAGGGTCCTTGTAGTTCTCACAAAGGACCAGGCTTTGCAACACAGCACCATGGAGAGACCTATCCGCCCTCCAACCTGGCAGGGGGACTGATTTGGACAGGAGCCCCAGAAGGAAAGGGTGGGAGGGAGCAATGAGGGGAGGGAGGCACCATTGCCGGTTGCCATCATGGCCAGGCCATCCCTGTGTCCCTGTTCTCTGGGCAGACAAGATCGAGCAGGAGAAGAGGGAGCAGAAGGAGGTCAGCCGCCACATGAAAGATCTGGGCAACGACCTGAAGAAACTCAACTTACTAATGAGCAAGAACCGGTGCAGCACCGAGGAGCTGCAGCAGGACAACCTGGTGGCCGAGACTGAGTTCATGCGCGTGCTGCAGGTCAGTGACACCCCCCCCCGTCCCCCCCACCCCGATCCCCTCAGCTACTCCGACCCCAGCACAGGGCAATAGAGGGCCAGCTCACACATGGGCACGAATGTCCTTGATTTGGGTGTCTGTCCGAGGATATAACTTCCATTCGAGTCGCTTGCAGAGCCGACTCTCAGCCTTGCCATCCCTGATGGGACTTGGAGGCCACAGCCCCAGTGTCCATGCCTCCAAGCGCCTCCCAAACCTCCTCCCCATTCCTACAGGCCGAGGAGAGGGAGACCCTCCAGATGCAGGAGAAACTGAGCCAGCTGCAGGAGGAGAAGACAGCACTCCTCAACAGCCTGGTGGAGGCAGAGTGAGTCCCAGGCTCCAGATGTCACTGTGCCCATGGCATGTCTCTCGGGCATCCTCAAGGATCCCAAGCAGCCCTCAGCCACACCGGCTGCCACTGGAAATTCAGGATTTTCTTTGGAAAAAACTTTTCAAAATACACATTGTGTGCTGGGCACTGATGGCTCCTGCCTGTAATCCTAGCTGCTTGGGAGGTAGAGATCAGGAGGATGATGTTTTGAGGCCAGCCCGGGCCAAAAAAAAAAAAGTGAGTAAGACCCTATCTCAGAAATACCCAGCACAAAAAAAAAAAAAAAGGGCTGGTGGAGTGGCTCAAGTGGTAAAGCGCCTGCCTCGCAAGCGTGAGGCCCTGAGTTCAAATTCCAGTGCTGCCAAAAAAACAAAAAAGCTATAAATGTTGTGTGACTGTGTCTGGCTATGACCGTAGCACATACACCCTACCCTGCACTTTAAACTGCAACAAAGCACACGAAGAAAAGGGAAATTTTCTTCCTGTGCTAGAAACCCACCAAATAGATGTCTGTATTTCTCATTTCATTTTGTGTTTTGCAAAATGTCCCCCTTTGAAGCGGTTTTGGGTTTCTGCAGTGTCTTTGGGTGGGCACCGTGGGCGCCATGGCTGACCGCCGAGCCCCGGGAGGGAATGGATCGCAAAGGGACGGTGTGCTCTGTGGCTCCACATGCTACGCAAAATTCCGTCTGGGACAGTGCTCTGGGGCCTTGATGTGTCCTTGATGACGTTTTAACAGCTTTGTGACTGAAGGATTGTTAGGGCTTTTGACTTCTTCTTAAACCCGCTTTGATCAATTCCATGTAGTTTTCTCCATTCCGAAAGTTGCACGTCCAAGTTGTCGCCCTATCTCCCAGTCTCTCCCTCCTTCCTCTCAGTTCTTCCCTCTTCCTCTTCTCTCCCCCCGGCACACCCAAGGCCTGTCTAGTTCCAGGGCTGGCAAGCCTTTTCTGGAAGCCAGCGTAAAGATTTGGGGGCTTGGTGAGTGTCACAGGCTCTGCCATCGCGTCAGGCCCAAGGGGACGCTGACTTCTCCAGTGCTGACGCCGCCTCTCCCGCCTCCACAGACACCAGCTCATGCTTTGGGAGAAAAAAATCCAACTGGCCAAAGAGATGCGCGCCTCAGTGGATTCTGAGACCGGCCAGACGGAGATCCGGGCGATGAAGGCAGAGATCCACCGGATGAAGGTGAGCAGCCTCCCACCACCCCCGCCTCAGCTCCGGCCACGCCAAGGCCCTGGCTCCCTGACCTCCCATGGGAACCCTGGCCGGTGGCACTGGGTGAGATTCCTGCTCCTACAGGGTGACCCATGCTCTAGCCCAGTAGAGGCCACACGTCGTCCCCTGGCTGCCTCTCACGTCAGGGCCTGTCCAACTTTTGTCCGTACCGCACAGAAGTCATCACAGAACACACAAGGACGTGTGCATCATTTCATGAATGCTGTCTTATCCTCACCCTGAGAAATCTAGGCCCTCAGGTCCTTTCTTTATTTCTTTACTTTTGGTGGCGCTGGTTTTGAGCTCAGGGCTCACCCTTGCTAGGCAGGCGCTCTACCACTTGAGCCACCCCACCAGGCCTAACCCCCTCCAATAGTTTAAAATGCTGCTCGTGACCCTGAATTTCACAGCTCACTAATGAGGTGCATCCCACTGTGGACAAGCAGATTCCCATATGATGACAGGGTTCAGAGAGCACCCCGAGTCATCCCTCACACACGGCAAGCCTTCACTGTCTTTCAAAAGCAATTAAATCACACTTGATCGTCGAGTTTAGGGTTCAGGGCCTTCAGGATAAAAGTAAAATCAGTTGTTAATAAAGTAAGTGTGACATCATTTTTAAGATGCCATTTTGGATACAAACTCCTGGCTGCTGAGTTATTTCTTCAGACCAGATGCATATGCAGGGCTGGAAGTAGAGCGCCCCTCCTCCTCCTCCTCTCCACTCTGTCCCCCTCCCTCCCTGGCAAACCTCTGTAAGCCAGGGTAAAGGTTTGGGGATCATGACCCTCACTGGCTCCAATGCCATGTGAGGCCCTAGGAGACGCTGGCTGCTCCAGCACTGAAGTCCAGTGTGAAATGTTGCTGATAATGTTTTAATGCTCCATTTAATTGAGTTTTCACAGCACAGAAGCCACATGTCTGCTGCATAGAGAACCAGCTCCCTGCCCTGGGACAGAAAGAAAGTCCAGGGGTTCCTCTCCGTCCTCCCCCTGTGGCCCTGCTCATCAGGGTGGCTGTGTCAGCCCCAAGAGGTCAGGGGCCCTCCCAACCTCTGAGATCTGACCTGTGCTGCACAGGGGGCTTGGATTCCTCTGCCTTCTGGGTTTTCTCCTTACCGAAAACAGTAGACAGACAGCTGTATGCCCTGTGACAATGACAACACAGACATCAGCCCACGCTTCCTCAGTTGCAGACACTCAGGAGACACATCACATGTTACTGACGCACCAGCTGTTCTGCCACCAGAACTGTGTATTAGTCAGTTAATACACAGTTTATTAGGGTTTCCAACCTTATGTGACCACAACCCCTACCTGGTCCCTGCACACTTCCCAAACCTACAGGATCAACAAAGTCCCTAAGACCGTCACCTGAGCCACTGACGCCCAGACTGTTTCTTAACTGATGTTGGACACATTAGTGGTTTATGAGAAAGGCTGGGTAAATCCCGACTGGCTGTGGCCCACTGTGGTCTAGCTCGGTGTCTAAACTCCCTCCACCTGTGAGGGACGGAGACCCTACTGTCTTGCCAACATCCAAGACCTGCTTCTGTCCCTAAGTTCCCACTAAGCTGTGCTTTGTGCCATCCTGGGTCTGAACACCACTTTCTGCCATTTCCGGGCTCCTTCTGCCTTTGGTGGCCGGTCCTCACACACAGGGGCGGCTTTCCCTTAACAATGAGGGCTCTCCAGAGAAACAGCCCCAATAGGACTTATATTCAATCAAACACCGCATAACAGCCGTTCAGTCAGCAATGGGATGCGTACACGACAATGGCCCTTCAAGAGAGCACATTGCCCAAGGAAGCCATCTCGGGTTGTGTTTGCTCACTCCATGATATTCAAACACTGACCAAGGCACCCAGTGCTGCTGTCTCAGGACCGCCCCTGTTGGCATGACATGTGACAAAAAAGGAGTGTGTGTGGTGGGGGGTTCGTGATGGGAATGGGCTCATGTGATTCTAGAGGCTGGCAAGTCCTGCAGGTGCAGACCCAGGACGACAGAGGCTAGAACTCAGCCAAGAAGGCGCCAGTGACGTTAATTCCTCAGACAACGCCTTAATCCCAGAAAAGAAAGAATTCCGCTCTGCCACCCTTTTGTTCTGCTCGAACCCTCAACACATTGAATGATGCCGCCCCCCCTTGGCATTGTCACTCTACTCACTCAAATGTCGGTCTCTTCTAGAAACTTCCTCCCAGACACACCCAGAAATGATGTCTTACCAGCTAGCTGGGCAGCCCTGGGCCCAGTCAAGTTCGCATAAAATTAGCTGTCAATGGGGGCTGGTGGAGTGGTTCAATTGGTAAGAGCGCCTGCCTAGCAAGTGGAGGCCCCGAGTTCAAACCCCGGTGCCACAAAAGAAAAAAAATTAGCCATCAAACAATGTTGCAGTAAGACCCCTAAGCACCCTTTCTTCCTTTTCTCTCCTCCCTGTACTGTATTTCCAGTGGTGGGCTTACTGTAAACCCTTGACTGTCATAGGGCCTGTCAGATCCCTTTCCACAAGTCACACGATGGCACTTTTGTCCCACCATCCCCTCAGTTCTGGGCATTATCAGTCTGTCAGTATTTATTTCTTGCCTGTTTTTTTCTTCTAGGTCAGTTTTACTGAGGCAAAACTTACATACGAGGAAACGCGCTAATTTTAAGCGTCCAGTTCAATGTAGGCACACACCAGTGACACCATGGCCACGGTCCAGACTCTGTGAAACACCGTGTGATTCAGAAAGTTCCCTGTGGCCCTGCAGTGTATCCTCTAACAGCCCAACCCCAACTCCAGTCTACAGACCCTCCACCATGCTTTCCTCACTGTCACCATCTTACAGAACCACAGCCTACTTGTCACAGCCAAGAAATTAACCTTGGTACAACACTGCTAACCAAACCACCGTCTCTGGCCAAGCCCCGAGTCCCCTCAACAATGTGCTTTTACTGTTTCGGGTGCAACCAGACCATCCCCGGCCATCTCCCCTCTTTCCCCATTTGTCTACGTTCTTTACAGGAAAATACAAACCATTTCCACCAATGCATGGTCCTCACTGTGTCCCTGCCAGTTCAGTGGACGGTGTCATCAGGAGGCAAACCAGGGCATGTGGGGTGGCTGCTCTCCTAGCAGGCCCCACTCAGCCCCTCCGTCCTGCACCCCCCAGGTCAAGTACGCACAGCTGATGAAGCAGCAGGAGAAAATGATTCACGACATGGAGGTGGCCGTGGCCCGCAGAGAGACCATCGTGACCCAGGCTGAGGGGCAGGGCAAGACGAGCAAGAAGGTCTTCACCCGGACCGACTTCCACCACAAGCAGGTTGAGCTGCGACGGAAAATCCGGGACACGCACCAGGTGGGTGGCAGTGAGAAAAGACATGACCCAAGGAATGTTCTGGAAAGGGGCTCCTGCTCAGGCTCCAGGTCCATCACTGGACAAGGGGCACTGCACAGGTATGTGCTGCTGTCCCCCTCGCACGTGGTCAGAGTGCATTCGCACCCACACTGGCTGGCCTCGGGAACCTGTCCTGCCTCGTCACATAGCCTCTGGGGCCAGGAAACTGGCTGTGTGAGAATGGTCACCCTACCTGCCCTGGCTTGTCTTCCTCTGAGCTGTCAGGGGCACAGTGAGGGCTACAAGGAGCCTGGGGGCAGCAGACACTGGATCACAGCCCCCAGGCTATGGGGAAACTCCAGTGCCCACCCACCCTGTCCCTATCACCGAGTCTTCCCGTGGGTGCTGCTGTGTCAAAGCTGTGACTGGGGGTGTGGAAGGGAAGCCAGCTTTGAAACCAGACAGACTAATTTGTCCTGCACTGGTGATGGAAGCCACTTCACCCTCTGAGATGAAAAGGGGACACAGAACTGTGCTGGGTCCTGCTGGGTGACGATGCAGGGCCTCCCAAGCGCCCCCACCTGGTGCTGTCTAGGGCCTGTCGCTGGGGGTCGGCTGGGTTTAGAAAAGTGTCCACACCAGAAGGGTGCTGCCTGGGGCTGGAGGCAGCTGTGTACCAGCTGCTGTCTGCTTCAGAGAAATGGCCTCCGGGAAGCGTGTGAGCCACACATCGAGGACTCCACGTGGAGGCTGGAAACAGGCTGATGGGAGTGTAGTGGGCCCCCAAGAGGGCCTGCATTTCTGTATGCCTGGCTGCACCCACTGGGCATGGAGTGGGTGCCCCTGCCTGGAAGGAGGCAAGCAATACCGCCCCCCTAGTGATCCCTAGTTTGGCTCAGGGCCACACTTCCCTGATGACAAGCCTGTACTTCCTGTCTGCCAGTGTGGGGAGGGTAGGCAAAGAAACCATCGACAAGGTAGCAGAAGGGTTAAATGCAACAGCAGCCATGCCTGTGCACAGTGTAGCTGCCCTGGGGACACTTGAGAACATGGCTTCTGAATCCCACTCTTCCACTCACGACCTGGGCATGTTGTCTTGCCAACACGGTGACCTGTGATAGGGAACTCCACATCACAGTCACCAGAGGACTAAATAGAGAGCCTTGGGGTCGCCCCTGTAGGAGCCGGGCATGATGGGGCAAGCCTATAATCCCAGCACGCAGGAGGCTGAAGCGGAAGGACCCAGAGTTCCCATAGGGCATGTACTATATAGGGAAAGGTCAGCCAGAGCGAGCTGTTCACGGGAAACTGCTAGAAGCTTCCAGAGAGAAGTGGCAGTGTATCCTTTCTGCCCTCCTTTGCTGCAGCGGCCCCTCCTGGTCCCATGTCTGACCTCTCTTCTTGCCATACACGAGGCCACGGTGCCCCACCAGGACCTCCGCCTCTCCAGGCAGCACCCAGTCCCCCTGCCCCCTGGACTACACCCAGCACGACCTCCACCATGTGTGCACAAATGGGGTCTTTACCCAAAGCTCCCCCACGCCCCAGCCAGACCCCGTGAGCCACTGTCTTTTCCTCACCGTCCCCTGGGCCACACGTCACCCACCAGACACTGCCAGATCTGTCTCTAGACCCTGTGGCTTCCCTGAGGGGTGCCCAGCCTTGCCCCTGCGGCACCCTCCCTGCTGCAGTCTCCTGAAGGACCGTGTCCTTCTGGGGCTCTTCAGAGGAGCCCCCAGCCCTCTGCTGGCCACTGCACTCCTGCCCTTTGCTTCCTCATGCTCTCCAGATGCCCTGGGCCCCTGCCCTGGCTTGCAGCGGCTGTCCTCATGCTCCCGCACGCAGACCCTGTGAAGACAGACTTGCCACCACGGGAGGACATCCTGGAGCTGCTCAGCCCCTCCCCAAGTCTTCCACAAAGCCACGGCCTCCTGAGTCTGCAGTGGGGGCTGGCAGGCCCTGGCGTCTGCGGGTGGTGGGGGTGCTCCCCTCAGGCAACTGTGGGGTGCCTCCCCGGAGTGAGTGTCCACAAGCACTTGGCCAGTCCTCAGCTCACTGCTTGTCTGTCCACTGAGTGACCAGGATGCAGGGGCCCAGCAGGTCTGTTTATCTCCTAGGCCACCGAGGAGTGCACCAAGACCGTCTCAGAGCTGGAAGAAAATCAAAAGGTCCTGAGCAGCTCCCTGCTGGAGAAGCAGGAAAATCTGGTGGCCATGCAGAGTGCCGCTGACAAGCTTGAAGACGACGTCAGCCAGCTCATAGCCCTTAAGCAACAGGTAAAGGTCCCGGAGGTCACGGAGGCTGAGGCACCTTGGCAGAGGATGTGCCACACCAGGAGACGCCTGTGTCTTCCCTGCCCCTCCAGAGCCAGGCTTCCCAGGGTCCAGTTGAGCCCAGGCTGATGACAGCATCAACAGCTGCTCACGTTTTTTGTGGCTTTGTGATTTGTTCATTCAACAAATACCAGTCGCTATCTATGACAGGCCAACACTGTTTTGGGTACGAGGACCATGGTATTGAACAAAAAAGACAAAAATCCTTGCCCTTCTCGAGTTGCCTTCCTGGGCAAGAGGTCAGGGCATTAGGGTGGTGTGGGGGACTGAGATTTTTGAGTGAGGTGGTCCAGGAAGACCACATGGGAAAGGAGAGAGACAGAACTTGAGTGGAGACTTGAAGGAGGTGTGGAAGGGAGCCACGGAGACAGAAGGGGCTCTGGGCCTGAGGTGACTTGGGATCCAGCAGGATTCCCCAGGCTCTGGGGCTGCCTGGTGTCCAGGAGGGTTAAGGGTGGACTGAGGAGGCTGCCTGAGACTCCCACAGCACTTCAGGAGCACGATGCACACAGACCAGGGTGGCCACCCAGAAGGGCCACTCAGTTCTGCATATGATTCAGAAATCACCCTGTTACCAGAATCAGTGGCACTCCATGGAGGAGATCTCCAAAAGGGAGGAGGCCTCTGCTGGCCCTTGGGTACTGAGTTCATGATGCTATTGCAAAAAAGAATTTTAGGACACATTGAGGGTAGAGACCAAGAAAATTTGTTAGTAAAGCAAAGCAAAGGAAAGACTGAAACTCAATGCACAACCCAGACATGGGTATGGACATGTCTGATAACAGGTGCAACGAGTGCTCTAACATCAGGGGTATTTAAGGTGAAAAGTGGATGGGGATTTGGCTTGAATTTACCTTAGGAAAAGGCAAATTGTTCTGACACCCGTATGATTAGTTGTTTTGCTGTTATACTGCTTTATCAGTTGGACCCAAAGATTTGAAGGTTGGCCCACTGCCTGCGTGGGTGTGCTGCGTGAACCTAAGAGTGGCAGGGAATGAGAAATAAGACACACACAGACACACAGACAGAAAACAGAAAACAGAAAGCTGGGGACGGGAGGGCTGCACGTTCCTGATGGGAAACGTGGGCGCCTACCTGAGCCAGTGTTTATTTTATAGGTCAGTACAAGGAAAAGACTCAGGTAAAAATGAAGCTTTAACAATTCTTGATGCAAGGTGAAAGGAATGAGGTCTGGTGGGCTAATTTTCCTAAGGCTAATGAAGCTTAATTACAACACATCTGTTCTGGAGTCATCAAGCACACAGGACACCTTGTCTAAGGTGTTGATTAATCTGGCATCAGGGAGTCTCCTGACAGTTCTGGTACTTTATCTGGTTTTGCATCAGGGGGTGGTATGCAGACACAGCAGGCTGTGTTCTTCAAGGAGATGTGAGAACAAAGGTCAAGAATGAGAGTAGGAGAGACTGTGCAAACTCCTACCATGGAGAGGCTGTGCAAACTCCACTATTTCCCAGCCCAGGGTTCATGCCTGGTCCCCAACAGCCCACTCATTAAATACGGGTCACTATGATTAGATGTCTGAGCATCCCTTTAAAGCCTGGGTCCTGTCAGATGCTCCTTCAGGACAGGTGTCCGTCCTTGAGATAAGTATTTTTCTTTGTGGACACTTTTTGTGCCCAGAGGAGTCATTTTCCTGAGTTCTTCCTCAGGATAAGTGTCTTAAAGACAGCCTTGCTTGGTTCCCAGAGAGCAGTAATTATTTCTGGGCAAACGAGTGAGGTCAAGGTGAGAGAGCTGTTCCCCGCCCCTTTCTTTTCTTTTTAGTAAATGTTGCAGCTTGTTAGAGGAGTACGAGGCTTAAAGCAAAGAAAGCAGTATCTACACACTTTTAGTTGAGCTGTTCATTAGTGCAGTACTTATTTGTGAATTCCTGGCTGCTGTTCCCCACGCCTCAGTTTTCCTGCTCTGTCCTGCCTCAAGCCCGGTGCGTGACAGACTGTGGTGTGAGCGTCAGGGAATATCAAGTGTGACTCCAAGGTTTCAGCCTCGTCAACCAAGTCAGGAATGGGCTGGACAAACAGCAATGCCAAAATGTCTCCCTGTGATGGATGCATGAGGCTCCTGCCGGGTGGAGCTGTCTCCTCCCCCTGCATTGGATTTGGAGACTCCACCATCCACGCCAGACTCAGTTCTCCTCTGCCATTGCCTCCGGTCTGAGCTGGGGTAGGGAGGGTTCCTCCTGGTTTGCACAGCCTGACACGGGGTCTCCTCCCACCCAGAACCTTTCCGAGATTGTGGTCCTGCAGTCTCGCCTCAAGCACCTGGAGGCGGTGACAGAGGGGAGGTACGTGTTCCTGCTCCGCTCGGAGAAGTCCCTGCTTGCGGAACGCAGGCGCCTAGAGGACCGGCTGGCCCGGATCAGCACAATCCTCGCCCACGTGCAGGCAGAGTATCCCCAGTTCCAGGAGGCCCTGCACAAGATCAGCCAGAAGGTCACCAGCAAGCTTGAGTCACTGGGGCCATCCTAGAGAGCCGGGCCCCCAGCTGCCCAGGCCTGGCCCCAATTGTCATTGGAATCATTCTGTCTTCCTCCAAGCCACATGTGACCTCAGAATGACACTGCGAGAGTCACGGAGAGGCCAGCCCATAAGAATTTGTTTTTTGCCACTCGGCAGTTCACATCAAGGATATGACCCAGCCTTGGTGAACCTGCCGTTTTCAGGGGCATCACCTGTAAGTGCAAACCCACAGTCCCTCCCCATCCCCTTGGCTTGTGGGTCCAAGAAGAATCAGCTCCTGGCAGCTCCCCAGCTGCAGGTTCTCCCAGCAACACTGCCTTGGCCAGGCCCAATGTCCTTGGCGAGTGAGGGAAAGGGGGCCCCATGGGAACCAGGATCGGGACTGGCAGCGGCCTTGGAAGCTGCTGCTCTCTTCAGAGCCTCTGCTAGGGCACATCTGAACCCCACAAGCCCCCTTCTTTTCAGTCTTCCCCATCCCACTCCCAGGGGTTCGGGCCCTTCTCCTGCCCCTGCCCTGCAGTGTGCATGAGCTCAGATCCCCAGGCAGCAGATGGAAGTGCAGGGCTTCAGCAGTGCCGAGGGAGGGGATCCCGGCCACGTCCACTCATCCTCCCACCTCCAGTCAGCCCAGCACTCCCTCCCTCACCCTGGGCTTCTGATAACCAATTGCTCAGAAAAGGGTTCTGTGAAGTAATTTTGTCAAACTTTACAACAGAATTAAAAGAAACTTTCTGAACGTGGGAGAAAGGCATTAATATTCCGGAACATTGCAGAAATACAGAAACTACAGAGGGGGCCAGGGAGGTCTCAATTCCCCCACCCAGAGGCAACCACTGACCGTGTTTGGGCGTCTCTCCTTCCTTTTTTTTTCAATGTACACATTCTACCTAACAAGTTAAGGCTGTCGTGTATTGTTTTTGTATCTCCTGCCCGAAAGTTTTCTCATTTTTTTTTGGTTTTGTTTTGTTTTGTTTTGTTTGCTTTTGAGACAGAGTCTCTCTATGTAGCCCAGGCTAGCCTGAAACTCATCCTCCTGCTAAGTGCTTGGATTACAGGCATGTACTACCATGCCCAGTGTCATTTAATGTTTCCACGATCGCTGGTTTTCTGGCTTCTCACATGTTTTGACTATTCGCTTATGGACTCCATGTAAGTTATGCAGCAAATGTAAAGAGCTTTCGGATTTGGCTGCTCAGTGTTGGTAGCTCACATCTGCAATATTAGCAACTTGGGAGGCAGAGATCCAGAGGATGGAGGTTTGAGGCCAACCTGGACAAACAGTTCCTGAAACACCCACCCCCCTCCAAAATAACCACAGCAAAATGGACTGGAGGAGTGGTTCAAGCGGTAAAGCGCCTGCTTTGGAAGCACGAGGCACTGAGTTAAAACCCTGGTCCCACCAAAAAAAAAAAAGAGCGAGAGCGCTTCCAGCCTTGGGCTTATTTTAGCCTCTCATTCATTCCCCTTTCCTATGTTACCCTCGGGTTGGGTCTGCAGGATACAGTCCCTACGTGCGGGATGCAGCCTGGCGCGCGCTGACCAACCCCCGCCCCGCCCCGCCCCGCCCCTCCAAAATCCCGTACGGAAGCCGCTCCAACCGGGCCGCCACCAGGGGGCGCAGCGTGGCCGGGCACCTCCCCCCGGCGGCTGCGCGAGCTGCGGCGTCATGTGACAGTCGCGGCCCCGCCCCCTCCCGCCCGCCGGCCACGTGACGCGCCCGGCCCGGCCCAGCCGGGGTCTGCGCGGCGGCGGGCGTGCGCTCAGGCGAGCCCGGCGCAGGTGACTGGCGCGGGTGAGCGGCGAGGGTGGACGGCGGCCGCCTCTCCGAGGCCAGCTGAGCCCGCGGGACGCCTGGCTGTCCGCGGTCGCCTCATTGGGAGAGTTGAGTGAGCAGTGTGACCGCGGGGGGAAGGCGGGATAGGGGGACAGCAGGGGACAGTGACCCCAGTTAACCCTGCGGGCCCTGGACACTTCTGGATTCTTGTCCACCCCTGCAGTGCTGGGGGGAGCTGTGTGTGTCCCGCTTCTCACAGGGGGAAACTGAGGCACGGAAAGGCTTGAGAAGGCCAGCTTCAGCCCCGGGTATCAGACAGCTGGGACTTGAACCCGTGCTGAGCCGGGGAGGGCAGCGGGTCCAGCCACTTCTTAGAAAGCAGAACTGGGGTCTCCAGGTCAGCTGGTGCTCCTGACCTTTCCTTAGTTCCTCATTTTTCTCTTTGAATTGTGGAGCTGAGTAAAGAGCTGTAGGGAGCTGGGCCCGCCCCTGTCCGTCTCTGGGACCTCCTTTCCTCCGTGGGTCTATTGCCAAGTCCTGGCTGGGCCTCCTCTGCAGCTCCTGAAAGGTGCAGTGTCCCTGCTGTGAACCTCTCTCTGGGTGTCCCCGGGATGCTCACCCCTGCTGATCCCTGCTCCCGAGCTCCTGAATCATGGTTGCAAGGTGTCATTTGTGTCTGGAAAGCCAGGTGGAACTGGCTCCTGCACACAGCTCCTGAAGCTTTTGGGAATCCCAGAATGATCATTGCCTTTCCTTTGGGAAGGAGCTGGCTTGGGGGCTGGAGGCCCTAGATAGCTCCAGGGTGGTGGCTGGCCATCAGAAAGATCATGACTTGATTAAGTAGAGCCCCATGCAACCACCCACCTCCTAAAGGGCTCAGATGGAGTCAGTCACCAGTGGCCAATGATTTATCATCAGTCATTCCTACATAACAAGACCCCATAGTACCCTTACCATGGGGTCAGAAAGCTCCAGGTTGGTGACGCATCCAGGTGCTGGAAGGTTGACATGAGGGAAGCTCTGCCCCATTTCTTCTGTCAGGCTGTTCCTAATCCTTCATTAAAAAAAAGTAAAATCAGTCATATCCTAAGAAACAGTAAACTTTGCTGAGTTCTGTGAGCCATTACCAAACCTGAGAAGGGGTCATGGAACCTCCAGATTTGGAGCCGGTTAGTCAGAGGTACTGGTGACGAACAGAGACTTGCAGTTGGAGGCTAGAGTGGGGTAAGCCCGTAGCTGTGGAATCTGCTGTGACTCTGGCAGTTGGTGTCCGAGTTGAAATGGATCCCAGGTGTCAGTTGGTAGGAGAAAATTCACATACAATTGATGTTACAAGTGTTGTGAGTAAAACTTTACTTCCAGCCTGGGGAACCCTGCTTCACTCTCCCTCCCATAGGGAACCCCCAAGCACTGCCGCTGGTGAGAACGATTGCAGCCGGCCCTTCTGCAGCCAAGACAGGACAGGCTCCCTCCGTGCCGTGCATCCACTGCTGCTGTGAGTGACTTTTCCCCATAGGTGGGTGTTTGGTGGCTGTGAGGACAGTGCACTGACCTCCTGCTGTGTGGAGCTGAATCGGCCCAGGGCCCAGCTGCCAGGCTCTGAAATCCATCGCTGCTTCTACCTGAGGCCTGGACCATTCTGAAGGCCAGTGGTGGCTGAGGACCCCATGGCCTTGGTGCTAGGACACTTTGACCCAGCCGCTTCTTTCTCCTCTCCTTGGGGTGAGGAGATGGTTCTCCTGGCCTTCCTGCTCACCGCACTTTGTTTCACACAGGTGCAAGGCCTCTAACAAAATCCGTGCATGTTTATCCCACACTGGAGCCTCTGCTCCTTCAGGAGCTAGAACCATGCCATGTTCCTTACACAACACTTAGAACACACACACGAAAGCAAAAGGAAGCGCCGTGCCTCTTGCCTTCAGATTCTGAACCTTGCGTCCTCATTGCCACTTCTGGTCCCATGGGGCTCCAGGGGCAGCTTGTCTCTCCCAGTGTGCCACAGGGAAGGCCAGGGTCTCACCTGCTGCGTCATCAGGAGCTGGAGCTTTCTCTCTTGTGGCATGGCCAACCTAGAGTGTGGCCCTTGACTATGGTACCTGAGATTTCTGTGTGGTGTGTACCCCTGAGCAGGACAGGGACCAAGAGCTGGTGGCAGGTACCCCTCAGAGCAAAACTTATTCCACTGACATGTCATTGGCCGAGACTTCATAGGCCAGCCCCAACCTTTCTGCAGAAGTGGGGCTCTCCCCCGCTATTCCCCACCCCCCCGTGGTTGGAGCTTACCCCTTTCACTTGTCATCTGTCACACTGGGTCTCTTACACACTTTAAATGCATCTCGTTGGTGACATTTCAGAAGACTTCTCAGTGGGAGGTGTTCTGTAGTCCTCTGGGTGGGACATTTCAGTCCATCTTTTCTCTTTTGCTTCTCTCCCACATCAGTCTGCACAGTGCTGCCGCTCTCTGTGTCTGTGCCTGAGGAGTCCCTCATCCTCCGCTGCCCTCAGATTCCTCGTTAGTACTCTGCTGGCCTCTTCTCCTGCTGGCCAGGCACAGACTGCCTGGATGCCGCTGTGAGAACAACCAGAGGTTCTCCTGCGAGCCAGTGAGCCTGGCTCCTTCTCTCCGCAGGCCTCCAGGACTGCACACACTGCCCCGGAGCAGGCAGGCACCAGCACGAATATGAGGTGGTCTCGCTGCTCTCACGCCCTAAAAGGAGTTTGCGCCATCGCCTTCTTGGCCACAGCTGCCCTTCTGGGGCATGTCCTGCTCCATGACTTCCCGGTGGTCCCCCGAGATCTGGATGGCCCCTCCCAAGGATTGGAAGAGACTCCTGGAGCTAGCCATCAAGGAAGCAGGAGGCTCCAGCCCCGACACATCCGGGAGCACCCGGGCTGGCCCAGAGCAGCACCCACACAATGTGATGTGCCCCCCAACAGCCGCTTCGACTGTGCCCCAGACAAAGCCATCACCCAGGAGCAGTGTGAGGCCCGTGGCTGCTGCTATGTCCCTGCATGGCAAGGGCCACAGGGCCCCCTGATGGGGCAGCCCTGGTGTTTCTTCCCACCCAGCTACCCAGGCTACCGGCTAGAGAATCTGAGCTCCTCGGAGACGGGCTACACAGCCACCCTGACCCGTGCTGTCCCCACCTTCTTCCCAAAGGACATCCTTACCTTACGACTGGATGTGCTGATGGAGACTGAGAGCCGCCTCCACTTCACAGTAGGCAGGGATGGGGGTGGGGTCTGGGTGGAGATTCTGGTACACACACGGAGGGGTCTGGCAGGCACAGAGGACAGAGGGTGTGTATGGACAGGTGACACACGCCTACTTCTGCGGGAACTGTGTGTATGGCACTACTATGTGCTGTGCCCCTATTAGGAGCCCAGGTGTGGTCAGGGTGGCCCCTCTGGGACAGGTGCTCTAGGAAGCAGGACACAGGTGGGAGTCGGGCCTCTCCCTGGGGGTAGCATCTCAGCTATCCCATGGGAATCCTCAGGGGAGTATTCCAGGCAGTAGACAGCGAGATCCCAGCTGCTGACCCTCCTCTAGTGACAGTTACTGCCTTCTGTTCTCTTCCCTTGCACCCCCAGTCTGCAACCCTCCATCTCTGCAGAGTGGTGCAAAGCCTGATTATTAGGGCTGCCATTTTTTAAAACTTTGTATTATGTTTTTGGAGGTTGAACTGGGGTTGAACGCAGGGCCTTGTACTTGCTAGGCAGGCGCTCCACCACTTGAGGCCCACTGCCAGTACTTTTATGCTTTAGTTGTAGTGCCAGCCTGAACTGTGATCCTCCTACCTATGCCTCCTGACTAGTTGGGATGACAAGTGCATGCCATCATTGCCCGGCTTATTAGTTGAGATGGGGTCTCACTAACTTTTTATCTGGGCCAGCCTTGAACCTTGATCCTCCTGATCTCTATCTCCCAAGTAGTGAGATTACAGATGTGAGCCAGCACACCTACCCCTAACTTTCTGTTCTTAGTGTAAGGATGTCTGTTCAACACTGGGGACATATAAAAACTATAGGGGCTGGAGTTCTAGCTCAGTGGTGGAGCTCTGTCTAGCATGTGCAAGGCCCTGGGTTCCATCCCAGCACTGCAAAAAACTAACCACCCCCCCCAAAAAAAAAGCCTATTTGCTGTTTATCTGAAGTTCAAGTTATTGGGTATTCTGTATTTGAATTGGTCCCCCGAGGGAGGCGTCCTCCTGGCTCTGTAGTTGAGGAAACTGAGGCTTATAGACGTTGAACAAATGGCTTGCACGCACACACACACTATGCAACTGTGTCAAGACCTGAACTCACTACTTTCCTGCATCCCCTTCTGTGGAGAGTGAAGGGAACATGAGACAGTTCCGCCCATGAAGGGCCTTGAACACCACCGACCACTATCTCTGTCCTCTCCTAGATCAGAGACCCTGCCAACAAGCGCTACGAGGTACCCTTGGAGACACCCCGTGTACACAGCCGGGCGTCATCCCCACTCTACAGTGTGGAATTCTCGGAGGAGCCTTTTGGGGTGGTTGTGCGTCGGAAGCTGGATGGCCGGGTGCTGTGAGTTGGGTGCCTGGGCCCTGGACCCCGCTCTGGGCAGGCAGGCGCAGGGTGGCTCCTTAGCACCGGGGCCACCTGGAGGGCACAAACCTGTCTGCAAGTTGGCCAGCTTCATCCCCCAGCTCTGGGTTGCTATCAGCTCCAATCCCACCATGGTGAGCCTTCCTGTCAGGGCCTCCTGTCTCTTCCTGACCACAAGCATGTGCCCACTGAGACCCACCTAGAGCGCTCCCCAGGACTTGGTGTGGCCCCCATATCAGCTGTCAGGACTCTCCTCTGCCTTGACCACCTAGGCCAGAACTTTCCAATAGGGGAAAACTTGGATGTCCCCCAAGAGATGTGTAGTGGTGTCTGGAGATGGCCTGGTTGCCACTGCAACACTGTCCCTGGCACCTCATGGGCTGACAGCCCACCACGAAGGCCACCAGCCAGAACGCCGAGGGAGAGACCCGCTCCATTGTTTTATTTATTCACTGAACGCGTCGTTTACCGTATGCCAGCAAATATTCATTAACTCACTCCATAACCAAAAGACTCAGAAGTCACGCTGTTAGTAGCACCACCATTCTAATGAGGAAAGAGCCCAGGCGAGGGCTTGTTGGCAGGGACAAAGCCAAGGCTGTAGCCCAGTAAGTGGCTCTGAAGGCAGCCACTCTGTGCCATGTGACCCCCTAGGGCTCATGTCCTCCTGACGTGACCCTACATTTGCATCACTGCTGTTCTCTGCCTGTGTAGGGGGCATGACATAGCCTCTGTGAACTGGCCCCCGATGACTCTTCCCAGTGAAGGCTGCTGGGTGTCACATGGCTGGCTGGCCAGGCTCTCCGGCCCTTCTCAGCCCAGCCCTCTGCAGGGCCCGTCTCTGCTCCTGTAGCCTGGGGTGTGAGGGAGCCTGGTCTCTCCCTGCAGGCTGAACACCACTGTGGCCCCGCTCATCTTCGCTGACCAGTTTCTGCAGCTGGCCACCTCACTGGCCTCCCGGTACATCACAGGCCTCGCGGAGCACCTCAGCCCCCTGATGCTCAGCACCAACTGGACCAGGATCACTCTCTGGAACCGGGACTTGGCACCCACGGTAAAGGAGGGGGAGGGTTCATGGGATGGGGACATTAGTCTGGGGTCCTGGGACTGACGTGCCATATCCTGTGTGTGTGTGTGTGTGTGTGTGTGTGTGTCATAGCCTGGTGCCAACCTCTATGGGTCGCACCCTTTCTACCTGGCTTTGGAGGATGGTGGCTTGGCTCACGGAGTCTTCCTCTTGAACAGCAATGCAATGGGTGAGTCTCGATCCTGAGGCTCTGTCAGCCGTGGAGGCTGGAAGCTTGAGGCTCATAAGGGACCTCTCCTCTGAGAAGCGAGGCCAGTGGGCTAAGGGCTTGCCCACCTCTGCCCCTCAGTGCCCCGTAGGGGTCCTGGGCGAGTCCCAGGATCCAGCCACTCAGTGGGGGGCCCTTCCATCCTTGACCAGTCGAGCTTAGCATGACTGCTCATCCCACCAAACTGTCCCTGGGTTCCCTGTGGGGAGAGCCACACTCTGGCTGTGTTTTGGCCTTCTGTGGCATGCTGGAAACCTCAGGGTAAGACACACGTCCCTGAGCCCAGCTGTTCCTTCCAGACATAGTACTGCAGCCCAGCCCAGCACTCAGCTGGAGGTCGACAGGCGGGATCCTGGATGTGTACATCTTCCTGGGCCCAGAGCCCAAGAGTGTGGTGCAGCAGTACCTGGACATTGTGGGTAAGGCCTGCCTGCTCCTGTCCTCAGGCCCTGCCCCTGCCTCACCCTCACCCTCCCCGTCTGCTCACCAGCAGTGTTGATCTGCAGGGTTTCCCTTCATGCCACCCTACTGGGGCCTGGGCTTCCACCTCTGCCGCTGGGGCTACTCGTCTACCGCCATCATCCGCCAGGTGGTGGAGAACATGACAAGGGCTCAGTTTCCTCTGGTGAGTGGAGGGCACAGGGGCTGGAGGTGGTCAGGGCCAGGCTAGGCGCACGGCTCCCAGTCCCCAGCCTCGGCTCGTGTGCTGGCTGTAGGACGTACAGTGGAATGACCTGGACTACATGGATGGCCGGAGGGACTTTACCTTCAACAAGGACGGCTTCGCAGACTTTCCGGCCGCTGTACGTGAGCTGCACCAGGGCGGCCGGAGGTACATACTGATCGTGGTGAGTGCCCCGCCATGGGGCGGCCGACAGGTCTTCGGGTGGGGAGCCACCCAGGGCCAGTGGCTCCTCCTCTGGGTGGCCCTTTGTCCTGCTGTGATCACTCACCAAGGATGTTTTCTGAGCCACTTTGATATTAAGGGAACATCAGAAAGGGTATGAGCTTGGTCTCTGCTGCCCAGGGACATCCAGTTTAGGAGAAGAGGTACAATAAGCTGATGTCACCCAGTGCTGGGAAGGACTTGGGGAGCTGGATATGAGTCATCTGTCCCTGCCTGTTGCTCAGGCTAGCTCTGTCTTCAAAGGAAAGGTGCAGGATGAAGTGGGCCAACATAGAGCCAGCCCTGCCCCGCACCTGTTTGCACAGCCACAGGGCTGTGTGGCTCAGGCAGGGCTGGTCTAGCTGGGCTCTCAAGCCCGGCACTAACCCGAGCGGGTGGGAGGCAGAGAAGACCAAATGGCCACCATAGAGACCCCTACAGCTGAGGAACCACCGACGGTCTGACATTTAGAATTGAGTGGAACTCAGCTGTCTCCATCACCACCCTTCTGAGAGCGGAAAGCATTACTGGCCATTCAACACAGAGGGCGACTCAGGCGTTTTCTTCTGACTTTTAAAAGAATTTTGTCACTGCAAAAAGTAAATGTTCCCCGTAGAGACCCTGGAAAGGTTAGAGGAGCAGTGAAGCCTGCGTTCAGACCTGCTCCCTCCAGCCTGCTGGACTCTTTCTGGTCACATCTGCAGGCAGGCACTTGTGTACACAGTGAGCATGTGTACGCATGTACAGATCCATCCCTGCCTCTTTTTTCTATTTTGGTACTGGAGCTTGGACTCAAGGCCTACACCTTGAGCCACTCTACCAGCCCTTTTTGTGACAGGTTTTTTAGAGATAGGGTCTCATAAACTATTTGCCCAGGCTGGCTTCAAACCGTGATCCTCCTGACCTCTGCCTCCTGAGGAGCTGGGATTACAGGCGTGAGCCACCAGCACGCAGCTCCATTCCTGCCTCTTTCCCAGTGGCTGGTGCCAAAGCCTCGGGCCACATCCCTGTCATCCCCACCCATGTCTCACACCTACAGGACCCTGCCATCAGTAGTGCAGGCCCCGCTGGGAGTTACAGGCCCTACGATGAGGGTCTGCGGAGGGGGGTCTTCATCACCAATGAGACCGGGCAGCCACTGATGGGAAAGGTAAGGGTGGGGGTGGGGATCTGACCAGTGGGAGCAAAGTGGGATTCCAGAAACCACCACATGCAGGGGGACAGAGTAGGGGTGGCGGTGGCCGCTGGCAAGAAACGCCCTCAGAATTCCCCATCAGGGGCTTTAGACTTCCTGGAAAGCAGTGTCACCAGACCCTGAGTGAGGCCTTGGGGGTCCCCCTTGCCCTCCTGGCCTCTCCTGAGAGACCTCCAGCCTTACCATGGGGAGCACGCAGAGCTCCAACTTCTGTATCCCAAGGCGTGCCCAGAACCAAGAGGGAGGGTCCCCCAGCTGAAGGATGGAGAGGAGAGGCGGTGCAAATGTGGAGGGCTTGACCTCAGGGCCTCAGACCTGGGTCTGACAGCCATGAGATTGTCACTGCTTTCCTCCTACCATATTCTCTGGTTCTATGGGTAGATATTCAGGAGGGCGGCCCCTGGCTGTCTCAGGGCTGAGGCCTCTCCAGACCCCATGCCAGGGCACTGTTCCCTGGGTCCCCATCTCCTGTTTACCAGTCTGGACGTTGATCTAGAGTAAGGCTGCCACCCTGCCTCAAGCTGAGGGACAGAAGGCCTCACTTCAGGCTCTGGCTGAGGTCAGTTTCCCCCTGGTCTCTTGTCCAGGTGTGGCCCGGATCCACTGCCTTCCCCGACTTCACCAACCCTGAGGCCCTCGACTGGTGGCAGGACATGGTGACCGAGTTCCACGCCCAGGTGCCCTTTGATGGCATGTGGATCGTAAGTGTGGCCTCCTACCCCTCTGTCCCCCAGCCCCTGGGGCCGCCCCACTCGCTGCATCCTGAGTGTCTTTGCAGGACATGAATGAGCCATCCAACTTCTTATGGGGCTCTGAGCATGGCTGCCCCAACAACGAGCTGGAAAACCCACCCTATGTACCTGGTGAGCCCCACTTGCCCACCCCAGGGGTGGGGCTGATGACTCCCCTCTCTGTTTGGAAGACTCAAAGGTCTTGTTTCTGAGAAGCCACCAGCAACTGGCAGCCTGGGAAGGGTGGGAGGGAACCCGACAGTGAGGTCCAGGTGGGTGATGATGCAGATGCGGCTGTAGACAGGCAAACAAGGTCACACACAGCCAGCACTTCAGACTCAGGCTGTCAGGTGGGGACCCTTGACACAAGTCAAGAGAAGAAGGGCCTGCAGGCTGGGAGTTGCAAAGGCCAGCCTTTGGCATTGCGTGGCCTATTTTGGGGAACAATGGAGCTGAACAAGGACTGCCCGAGGGCCATGAGCAGGGGACCACGCTAGGCCCACTGCTGAGTGATGGGTAGTGTCAGAAGGCCCTGGGAACCAAGCCTGAGGGGGCAGAAACTTGCACGGGGGCTCCTAGGATGTGGGAAGGAGGGTACTCCCCTGGGAGGAAGCTCCATAAAAACCAACGCCTCTCTTCCAGGGGTGGTTGGTGGCACCCTGCAGGCGGCCACTATCTGTGCTTCCAGCCACCAGTTCCTTTCTGCACACTACAACCTCCACAACCTGTACGGCCTGACCGAAGCCATCGCTTCCAACATGTGAGGCCCTACCCCGTGCAACACTGCCTTCTCCAGCCTGGGGCTGAGGGAGGGACCATTCGCACCAGGCTCGGCAGCAGGGGAGAGAAGGATGCCGTCCAGACCACCCAGGAGCCAGCAGGACCCCTCGACTCCTGCCCAGCTGCCTACCACTCCTTTCCCACCCCAGCAACTGCAGGAGCTCGCTCGACTTTGTGCCTGGTGTACTCTGGGTGTTGACTAGATCGGGGACAGTGCCAGTGGGACCCGAGTTCCTGTGAGGCGGGGGCTGGTGGCTGTCTGTAGGCAAAGTCAGGGTGACAAGGGCAAAGCTGACTGTCCTCAGCAGGCATTGGCAGTGGCCTGTCTCCCACTCCCCAGCCTCTGCCTCTCCTCGCGGTCAGTTCCTTCCCCCAGCTCTGCCTTCCTCTTGGCTATCGGTAGGTGCTGTGCTCCACATAGCTCTCTGTGTCCTTGTCCCACCCAGGGCCCTGGAGAAGGCTCGAGGGACACGACCCTTTGTGATCTCCCGTTCAACTTTCTCTGGCCACGGCCGATACGCTGGCCACTGGACAGGTGATGTGTGGAGCAGCTGGGAGCAGCTTTACTACTCAGTGCCAGGTGAGTGCAGTGCCAGGAAGAGGCTACTCAGAGGACACTGGGGGACCAAGGGGGAGCGTTGCCCCAGAGCTGGGTTCTGGGCTGAGCATGGCTAAGGTGCTGCTGTGACAGCTTGGGGGCCCAGCCACCGGGTCACGTAGTGGTCCCTGCACACCTGTGCACATCTGCTCTCCTGTGCGGGCCAATTCACCTGTGTGAATGGCTCACCTATGGCACCACCCTTCCCAGTGTCCCCATCTCCAGGTCACCCTGGCACTGCCTGAAAAGCTACCATATTCTCAACCTTCACAGTTAACTGCAGGAAATGGGGTCTGAGCTCAGCCCACACAGTGCCACCTGCCCTGTCAGGCTCAGTGCCCTGCTCTGCCCTGCACAGAGGAGAACTAGAGAATGGGTTCAGGACGGGGAGCCAGGACCACCGTGAGGGCAGCTGGAAGAGCCTTGCCCAGAGTGCCAGTGGCCTTGCAGATCTATAGCCATGGGGGCGGGGTTCCCACTGAGCCATGCTCTCTGGAGAAGTGAGACCCCCCTTTCCAGAAAGGGCTGACCACTTCTGCCACTAGTGGACAGCATCTCACCCTGATCTGCTGGGCAGGCACAGTAGGCTGGGGTCAGTCTTGGAGCTACCTTGCAGAGCGGTGGCTGGGCTCTCGCCTCTCTCGAGTCTTGGATTTTAGTTCTCACGTGAGCTGCCAGTTACTGAGCTCGCTCATGCCGTTACCAGGATCAGTTGCAACCCAGAGAGGTTCCACGTGGCCCTGGGCTGGGCCCAGTCCTGACCATCAGCTCCCAACCCTGCAGTTCTGGTTCCAAGGACAGCTGGCCCAGCACACGGAGACTGGGAATTGGCACCAGGCTAGATGGGAAGACCTTGAGGTGGCCCACCCCTTCAGTCAGGGACTAATTGCTCTCTGGATTAAGCTGGGGGCTTGAAACAACAGGAATTGATCACCACACTCTAGGGAGCACAGGTCTGAGCCCGGGTATGGTGGGGTCGTGCTCCCGCTCAGGCTTGGGGTCCTCCCTCTCTCTGGAGGTGTTCAGTAATCTTTGGCATCCCCGGCTTCTCGCTGCATCACTCTGGTCCCAGCCTCTGTCCTCACAGGACCACCTCTGATGTCTTTGTCTTCATGTGGCATCTTCCTATTAGAAGGGTGTCGGTCATACTGACTAGGGCCCTAGGACCTTGTCTTACCTAAGTTACTTTTGGAAAGACCACGTTACACGATAAGGTCACACTGTGACCCGCCAGGGGTTAGGACTCAAACCATCTTTCTGGGAGCACAGTTCTGCTGTACTGGGAGTTGCTTTGCTCTGCCTGTCTCGGGTGTCAGGAAGCCATCCACATGCAAGGACATTCCTGCTGACCTGTATGGAAGATGCAGGGGCCAGCGTAGTCCTGACCATTGGATGGGGAGGGCCTTAGCAGGGATCTACACTTCTGTCCTGAGAAGGCTTGTCTGTCCTGCTGACTTGGCCTGAACTGGCCCTGCTCTGGTAGCCTGAGGCCCATCTGCCTCTGTCCTCCCAGAAATCCTGCAGTTTAACTTGCTGGGGGTGCCCCTGGTTGGGGCGGACATCTGTGGCTTCCTGGGCAACACCTCGGAGGAGCTGTGTGTGCGCTGGACCCAGCTGGGGGCATTCTACCCCTTCATGCGGAACCACAATGACCTGCACAGCCTGGTAAAGTGGGCCAGAGGCGGCAAGGGAGGGGAGGGGAGGGGAGGGGAGGCCCACCCACCCGAGACCCTGGCGGGCAAATCTGTCCCTGGTGGAGAAACCCAGTCCCATGCTGGCCTCTCCACACCGGGTGGTCAGGAGCACCGGGGTGGACGTTCTCTGGATTCTCAGCCCTAGAGCGCACGCCCCACCTCCTATTTTTGCCCCTCCATCCCACACAGCCCCAGGAGCCATACGTGTTCAGTGAGCCAGCTCAGCAGGCCATGAGGAAGGCCTTTGCCCTGCGCTACACGCTACTACCCTACCTCTACACGCTGTTCCACCGCGCCCACGTCAGCGGGGAGACGGTGGTCCGGCCCCTCTTCCTAGAGTAAGTGACCTGGGTCGGGGTGACACCAGGGAGCCCCATCCTGCTACAGGCTGTGTTGCAGCTGAGTGAGACAGGTGCTCCTGCAAGTCCAGTCCTCAGCCCTGAGACCGCAGCTCACGGCTAGGGCGTTTGGGGTATGGGAGACCCAGGATGGAGGACAAGGGAGCACTGACCAGGCCTGCTAGACTGCAAAGCAGTGATGAAGGGTTGTGATTTTAGAGTTGGCTTAAGGGAGGAAGCTCAGTGTCCCCAGGCAGGTCTTGGTACACATAAAGAGCTGCCTTGTTATGACAGTGTTGCCTCCGTCAGCAGATGAAAGAAGGATGCTTGGGTAGGAAGAAAATTAGCTAGCTCTTTACAGAAGTTAGAAACTAGCTAGCTCTTTACCCTTCATCCCATGCAGAGCAAAGTTCCAGATGAGTAAGTGGTTAAACAGCCAAAATTCAGCTTTAGAGATTCCACAGAAAACATAAGAGACCATTTGTTTACTTGGGCAGGGGATGACTTTCTAAGTGTCAGAAGAAAGGGAAAGAGGTTCAGTTCAGAAAAAAAGGAAAACTTTATTGAACAGGGACAGAAACAATTTTAAATCTCTGAATATAAATTAAAAAAGTAAAATTGCTCTAAACATAGATTGTAATGGGCAGCTGAAGTCCTGTCAGTAAAATGACAGCCCTCTTCCTAATCTAGAAAGAATGCATACCATAGTGGTAAGACCCATGTTAAGAAGCAGAGGGTGGGGTGGGGGTACAGCTCAGTGGCAGAGCGCTTGGCCTAGCACACCAAAGGCCCTGGGCTCCACACCACACAGTAAGAAGTAAGAAATGTGAGGCCTGCTACTCAGGAGGCAGAGATCAGGAGGATTGTGGTTTGAGGCTAGCCCAAACAAAAAAGTTAGCAAGCTTCCCATCTCAACAAAACAAGCCAGTAATCCCAGCTACACAAGAGGCAGAGGTAGGAGGATCGGTGTGGTAGGCCAGCCTCAGACAAAACCCTATCTGAAGAGGGCTGGGGGTGGGGCTACATTGGTAGAGGGCTTCTTTCCCAGCATGTTTGAGGCCCTGGTTCAATCCCCACTACTGGAGATAAAAAAAAAAGAGAGGAGAGAGGGGTGTGACACCTCTAATCCTTATGTTCTCCGTGCCCACCCGGCTCTGTTACTGCTGTGCCGCTGTCAGAGGTAGTGTGCTTTAGAGTGACTTTCCTCGGCCAGCTGGTAAAGTCTGCTGTCTTTGTTGTGCGTGGCCACAGAAGTCTGCTCGGTTAGCTTGTGGACAGCTAATAGTTGGGCAGATGTCCTTAAGTGCCTGGCACCAGAGTGTCTTCCATCCCGTGCCCAGTGACCTGTGTGTGTATTGGGGACACCTAGCTCAGCCATGCTGGCTTCCAGCTTTTCTTACCAACATCATGCGGCCATTGTGAACAAATGCTCCTGGGTTGCCACAGGCCTTTGGCTTGTCTGCAGAGCCCTGAGAGAGTCTGCCTGTGCTCCGTTGCTTTTGCGGGGGACGGGACTGAGAGAAGCCCCCACTCCACCATTGTCACCGACATCACTCCAAGAAATGTGTTTTGAGACAGAAAGACACAGTGTATCTGGCCCGAGAGATTTATATATGCCTCCAAGAAAACGAGAATGACCAGAGCCGGCAAGGACACGGAGAGCAGGTGTGTCCCAAGTTCACGTTTCATGCGGTAATGAGTTGACCACCTGTGCTCCTCAGAGGGGTTTGACACTGCTACCTTGATGCCTTAGTTTTACAAACAGCATGTGCTCTACAGAGGTCATCCAAAAGGTGTGAAGGTGCACACAGGTCCCCAGCGCAGCACGCATGTTCCAGAAACAAGCCGGGTCTCCAGGAGTAGGGAGCAGGAACTGCACAAAGTTACGGCACAGGACGATCTCGGATGAGGAAGTAATTGAAGGACAGATGTTCAGTCTCGGTTTTGCCAGGCGCCAGCACCTCACACCTGTAATCTTAACTACTCAGGAAGCTGAGATCTGGAGGCTCACAGTTCAAAGCCAGCCTGAGCAAATAGTTCATGAGACCCTATCTCAAAAATAACCAGAGCAAAATGGACTGGTGGCATGGCTTAAGCAGTAGAGTGCCTGCTTTGCAAGCCAAAGCTCTGAGTTCAAACTCCAGTCCCACCAAAAAGAAAAAACAAGGAGAAATAACAGTACTTGGTTTGGGCTGTAAGATGCTGGAGAATTTCTTTCTACTTTCCAAATATTTGAGTTGGAGAAGTGACGTCACTACTTTGATACTCAGGAAATAGAGAGCAAAGGAAGCCCAGGGCCCTTCCCGGCACCTCTGGGCACGAGCCCGACTCCTGTCCTGTATGCCGGCTGCCCCGGATGTGGCGCAGGGCGAGTGTTTTGGGCTCTGGCATGGACAGCTGCCACACACAGGTAACCGAGGCATCTGGCTTTGTGAGCTCCCCAGAGATTGGAAATTTTCTGATCTTCCCTGGGACTGAGCAGCTGACACAGAGCAACATCTCTGTCCCAGCCCTGGTCACCAGGCCACATGCCCATTCTTCCTCTTTGAAGGTTCCCTGAAGACCCCCAGACCTGGGCCGTGGACCGCCAGCTGTTATGGGGGGAGGCCCTGCTCATCACACCAGTGCTCGAGCCAGGAAAGGCCGAGGTGACTGGCTATTTCCCCGTAGGCACATGGTACAGCCTGCACACGGTGAGTCCCAAGGACCCTAAAGTCTGGGGGAGGTGTGGCCACACCCACCCCTGTCCCAGTAACACTGGGACAGCCTGTCAGTGTTACATTGCCGGGAAGAGTCCAGCTGCTCATTCAGTCTGCAGCAGCCACCGACTCCCTCAGAACCCCATTTTCCAGAGGAGGAAACCAAGGCCTGAGCTGATAACTCGCCAGGGTCCCACAGCCATCAATCACTGAGGCTCAAGCTAAGCCAGGTGTTCCCTGACCTGTCCCAGAGCTGGGGGACTGTGTCCCACAAAGTGGCTAGGTCCCTGCAGTGAGTTAGTCTGCCCCTGAGGTCACACCTGGTTTGTCACTGCCAGGCCTCCTGGGCCTCCATGTGGAGTTTTGGGAAATGGGAGAACATAGCTTCCAGTGACAACATGGGGACCTTGTGTTGCCTGGGACCTTCTGATGTGACCCCTTCTTCCAGGTACCAGTAGAGGCGCTCGGCAGCCTCCCCACTCCACCTCCAGAACCCCTCAGGTCTGCCATCCACAGCAAGGGGCAGTGGGTAACACTGCCAGCCCCTCTGGACACCGTCAACGTCCACCTGCGAGCTGGGTACATCGTGCCTCTGCAGGTACCTGGGTTGGGCAGCTGCAGGGCCTGGGAGGGGCCTCTGGGGGGAAGGAGACCAAGGAGGGGGAGGACACAGAGCACAGCCTACCACCACTCAGGCAGGTCTGCGTGCTGGATGCTGTGTCAGGGCTCAGCCTGGGTGTCACTAGAAAGGACAAACTGGGGTCCATCTGACTAGCCCTGGCTGTCAGGTGTGGGCTGTCCTGCAGTTCCACTTTCTTATAGCCAGAGCTGCTCCAGCTTAGTGTCCCCCTATCTCAGAGGCCTCCACCAAGGTCAGAGCCATGACATATGCGCCCTCTTCCCAGGGCCCTGCCCTCACAACCACGGAGTCCCGTAAGCAGCCGGTGGCCTTGGCTGTGGCCCTGACAGCAAGTGGCAAGGCCTGTGGGGAGCTGTTCTGGGATGATGGGGAGAGCCTGGGGGTGCTGGAGCGCGGGGCCTACACACAGGTCACCTTCTTGGCCAGGAATGTGAGTCTCGGAGCCTGCCCGGGCTGGTGGGGTGGGGCCTGTTGGGGACAGTGCCCACGCTGCTCTGGCCAGGGGAACAGGCCGGGGTCCCTGGTGGGGCACTATGCTGGGCCTCCCTGTCCCCTCACGTCTGCACAGAGGCCGCCCTGTGATGCGGTCCACGCGGTCGGTCGTGAGTCTCTGCTATATGCTGACACCCACCCCCGTATCCTCTCCTGCCTGTGTGTGGCCAGAACACCCTCGTGAATGAGCTGGTGCACGTGAGCAGGGAGGGGGCAGACCTGCAGCTAAGGAAGGTGACCATCTTGGGGGTGGCCACAGCGCCCCACCGGGTTCTCTCCAATGGGGTCCCTGTCTCCAACTTCACCTACAGCCCTGACAGCCAGGCAAGAGCAGTGACGGAGTGGGGGCGGGAGGTGTTGAGGGTCCCAGTGGCCCGGATCACATCATAGACGCGCTTTGGGGCGGGGCGGGGGTGGACACCCGGATCACATGGGCAGAGAGGGACTTGGGGGATGGGTGGGGGCTTGCTTCCCGTGTCGCCCTCTGGAGGACGGTAGAGTTGGGGTGGGGTCACGATGGCGACCACAGGCAGCCCCTCATCTTCAGAGGAACATGGTGCTAATGCAGACTCACTGGCCATCACAGTGGGAAGGACAGCCCCATGTCCACTTGCCCACAGCAGATACTCACGTCCCAGGCTGTGGGTGGGAACTGCCTGGCACTCAGTGTCCCTTCTCGTGCCTTCCAGCTCCTGGCTGTCCCCGTCTCGCTGTACGTGGCTGAGCAGTTCCACATCAGCTGGGCTTAGCAGGAGCAGCCTGTCCGTCTCTGCCTGTGCGGGAGACGCTGAGCACGCAGACAGCTCCTGGGGTCCTGAGGTCTTGGGGTCCAGGCGCTGTCTCCTGACCCGCCTGAAGAGTTCTGTGCCTGGAGCCCACGGTTCCCAGTCCCCCGAGGGCTGCTGTGTTGGAGCTGTAAGGTTTGCCTCCCATGCCTGCCGCCTGTGCAGCAGCAGCATCTGCCCCCAGCCGTCCCTGCCGCCAGAGAAGACACTGAGAAGACACTGCTCAGGACAGAGATGGTGTGCTGCACCAAGGTCAAGGTCAGCTGTGAGTCAACAAATGAACACAGCTGGCAACACTACAGAGTTTGCAGGGTGTGGAAAACTTACTGGGAAGTGCACTTACTTTTAATAAACAGGCGTTTGGAACCAGCTTCTGCTGGTCTTCTGGGACTCGAGGCAGGGAGGAGGGCCAGGGCTGTGGGGGCAGCCACACCTGACGTCCCCTGCCTCTCTAGCCAGCACCCTTCACGTCCCCGAGTCACCTCCCCTCCCCAGCACCCTCACATCCAAGTCACCCTTCACAACCCCTCACCTCCTCATGTTATTGCATATAGGAGATGAGGGGCCAGGAGGCAGATGGTAGAGATGTGTCCTCACGAGGGTTCGGACGAGGAATTTGGGGGGGCGGGGGGGGGAGAAAGATCTTAGCCAGAGGCAGACAGCCATCCCTAATGATGCGAGGAGATGAATTCAGGCCCAGGGTCTCCCTGCCAGGCTTACTGCAGTCAGGGCCAGCAGAAGTCGCTTTCACAAGCTGGCCAGACTGTGCAGCACACCCCGATTGTCACTGGGATTGACGGTGCTGAAGAGAGCAGCCTTGGCTTGTCTCTGGGGCCTCTGGAAAGCCAGGAGCCAAAAGCACAGTGACTCCTGGAAGCCATGTGTCTGGCTGGGTGACCCAGCACTCGTGTTTGGGGTAATTATTCCTAGCCCATGGCATAGACAAGAGTTGCCCAGCCAGGTCCTGAGCCCTACCTGCCACTTTGCATACGGGGAGCCTCTGACCTAAGTCACCTGCAGACTGGGGGACAGCCATACTAACCACAGGTGCTACTCTCCCCTCGTCCCAGCCCCATGTGGAGGTGACTTCAATGGGAGAAGCCAAGGCACCCATCTGGACAGCAGTGCGGGTGGAGGTGTGCACCTCCCCACTAAGGGCCATCAGTCCTGTTTCCTCCACCACATGGAGGGGGTGACGGAGGTGCAGGAAGGCCCCCAATTATTCATTGCTCCCAAGGACCTAGAGAGAAAACAAAACCGGGAAGGGGAAGAAGCAGGGGGAGTGGCCCCTTCCTGGGCATCCTGTCCCTGGTGCTTTGCCAGCCCCCAGGGCTAATGGCACTGACTGCTGACAAACTGGACCTCCACTCCGTGCCATTGCCCAGCACTGCAGGGTGCCCGTGGCCAATGCCCTTTACAAGACCTGACCATTGCAGAAGTTGAGTCCTGGGTGAGATTAGCATCATGTGTATGCAAATCCTTGTGGGGTAAGGGACAGGTAGGGGTAGAGAGAGGCACTGCTTCCACCCACTAAGAGGCCGGGGTCTGCTCACACCATGGTCCGTGCCCACAGCCACCTGCACGCAGTGGCCAAGATGGAAGCCACTAAACTTAAGTGAATTTTAAAGCAATGTGGAAGCAAAGACGTCCCAGGTACCAGGACTGTCCCACCTGCCCTCTGCAGGGGGAAGAATAACCAAGGATCTGTTCACAGCCCTTCCTCCCCATTCAGCTGCCTCTGAAGCCAGGTTGGGGGCTCAGAGTGAGATGCTCCCGCCAGGATGCATAACCCAAGAGCAGAGATGCGTGTGGTGGGGTGGCCTGGTGGGCACCCACCCTCGCAGGCCCCCCAGAGGCCTGAACTGGGCCATCCTGACTTCTTACAAAGGGGCCACAGTGTTCCCCTTCTGCGCTGAGTCCTGCAGACTGTGTAGCCAGTCCCGGGGGCAGAGACATGGTTTCCCTCTTGTTTGTGTTGGTACAAATTAACGTCAATGCCCCTTTTCTGTCCTGGAAGCTTGGTGCTGGGACAGTAACCAGCCCAGTCTTGACAAGTCAGTCAGGGACAGGTAAGTTCTACGTTCTGAAGACACCCCCACCCACTTTACCTAAGGGTGTCTCAACTGTCATGCTTGGTACAAGTCAATGACAGAGCCCTTTAGTGGCCACTGTGGAGCCTGTGCGCCTTACTGACTCTTCCTGACCCCAGCGAGGGCCCAGAGAGGAGCTTGCAAAAGGCCAGACTGCTGGGACCCAGGTGGGTAAGAGGAGCCAAGCTGGACCTGTGGGTTGTCCCGCTGTGTGACAAATGGTAAATGTGCTCGGTGCTAGACAAGCCCAACCTTTGTAGCGGTCACCTGCAGTTGTCCCTTAGGCCCCTGAACACTGCGTATCACGACATCAGAAACTGAATGCAAGCAGTAGAGGGGTTCACAGGGAGGACAGGGGATCCGAGTGGGAGCAATGTGCAGTCTGAACTCCCACAGGGCCCAGCATTCTCCTTCCCAGGGTGTGTGGGCCCTTGCCCTGGTCTACGCATTTCCTGGTTGCTAAGTGTACTGTCACCTTTATGTCACCCACATAACAGAGCTGTAAATACCTCTGAGTCATCTGGATCAAGATGGAGTCACTTGTGCTAACCTAAACAGGAGGCTATGAAGGAAGGATTTTTATACATGACTGGTTGGTAGTCACAAAAGGGCTGCCAGAGCCAAGACCTTGCCAAAGGCCACTTAGGTCTGACACAAAAGCCTCCCCCACCCTCCAGTGCTGGGGCTGAAACCCCGGGCCTTGCATGCTAGATGAGCACTCTACTGAATGACCCCAGGACACCTGCCCAGCAACATCTGCTCATCCTGGTGTCATCCCTGTTACAATCACTGTGGTCAAGGACTGCTTCATGGAGCTTATGGAATCCTCAATTTTGCCTTTAGAAACTCCCCTTGCCTCAACCCGTCCCATTCTGAGTTCTGCTGTTCCCAAGTAAGCATCAGTCTTTCCTAAAGAAACTGTCATCTGGCTGCCACGGGTGCAGTTAAGAGGTGCACCTTATCAGTTTCCCCCAGGCCAGGGTCTGCAGCCAGCGTTCCAGTCAGGGTAATGCACACACCACCACTCCCAAGGGCCTGGCCCTTAGTCTTCCCTGTCTCCAGGCATCCATGGCTATTTTGTGTCCCTACAGATTAGTTTGTAGACGTCATATAAACAGAACTTTTTAAAATCTAATAGCACTCAACATGATTTCTGGAGACTCATCCATGTAGGTCTATCAACACTTTGTCCTTCATTGCTCAGCAGTTTCCCATTGTAGGGACCAACCATGGTTTGTCTATCCCCCTTTAACATAGATTAAGGATTAGCTGGGGGTTTTTTGGATATTGTGGTCCTGGACATTTCATTCTTCCATCCCCAGATCTTAGCTGAACCACCCCTGCATGGTCTTTTGACCAGGTAGTGGGACGATCACAGGTGCAGGTGTAAGGACAAGGGAATCCCTGAGCACCGCTATTCTACCTACCATAAAAGGGTTCTTTGAAAATCCCGGCTCCAAAGCCCTCGTTACACACATGCCTTCCACCTGTTTTCTCCTGGCCGGCTCCACTACTCTCAGCGTAGCCATGGCGGCAGATTCTACCACCAACCCAGCCCAACGACTGCTGCACCTGTGGATAAATGAGTCTGATTAGGAATTCCCACCGTGATGTTGAGTGGTGCACTTCCAGGATTTGATGACTTTGGAAGATGTCACTGAGTTTGCAATCACACCAGAAGGAAGGATTACTAAATTACATCAGATTTTGCTAAAGAGAAGTAATGTAACAATGCTGGTTCTGAAGTGTGCATGGATTTCCTTGACTTATGCTAGGTTCTGTTTTGTCTTGTAATTGCAAGCAAATGGAACTTCACTTTTGTCCTTTTTTTTTTTTTGGTGGTACTGGGGATCGAACCCAGGGCCTCATGCATGCTAGGTAAACACTTAAACCACTGAACCACAACCCCAGACCTTGCTTAGCTTTTAACGTTTAGACTCTATAAAGCAAGTGTCCCATGGAGGGGAAATGCTCTGAAGATGTAATGTGTGCCTGTTTTTCTAAGTTAATCATTACCTTGTTACCTTGGAAAATGAAGAGCTTGGTTTGTTTGGGTTTTTTGCAGTACTGGGGCTTGAACTCAGGGCCTTCACCTTGCACCACTCCACCAGTCCTTTTTTTGTGAAGGGTTTTTCAAGATAGGGTCTCGAGAACTATTTGTCTGGGCTGGCACTGAACCACGATCCTCCTGATCTCTGCCTCCTGAGTAGCTAGGATTACAGATGTGAGCCACTGGTGCCCAGCAAACTTGTTTTTGAAGACTAAAAAATAAAGACGTTTTTGGTTTAAAAAAAAAGTAAAATGTTTCATCTTGATAATTAATCTTTGTAATTACTTTTTAGATAATTTAAAAAAAAATCTTTGCCAAAGAATTCACTATGACTTCCTGTTTTCCACTATGGATTCTGCAATTCTAGCTCCTGTATTTCAAACATTTCAAGGTGTTGTTTATGATTGAGTGAAGTGGCCTGCCCAAGGGTCACTAGAACAGCTGGCAGCACAGTAAGAAACACAAATGCATGTTCATGGGAAAACTTTAACGTTTAATGAAAAAGACTTAGAGAAATGCATTATTATTTACATATGGGTAAGAAAACATGGCAGAACCCAGGGCTTTTCCTGGGGGTGCTGAGAAGAGACACTGCCTCCAAATACTTCCACATGGAGTACAAAGCAGGGAGCACAGTCTTCAGATCAGATCAGATCAGCAACTGCAAGTGAAGAGCACACATGAGGAAAGGAACCTCAGACCTGACGCTGCACACCTGGCGAGGCACGGTCAACCCCAGGCTCCGGGATCTCCCAGCTATAGCACCCACGCCAGTGTGAGCTGGCTCTTACCATTCATGGGCATCTCATCGATCTGAGTAGAGTAGTACTGCTCGATGTCTCTGAGGATGCGGATGTCGTCATTTTTTACAAAGTTAATGGCCACACCCTTGCGGCCATACCGACCTGACCTCCCGATTCTTCAGGAATAAAACAGAATCACCTTAGTAAACACAGAACAGACTTTAGCAAAAGCATTACACATAACGATAAGAAGGCTGGCCCACCTGTGTATGTACAGCTCTCTGTTGTTCGGCAGGTCGTAGTTGATGATGAGGGACACCTGAGGGACATCCAGCCCCCGGGCCCAGACATCTGTGGAAATGAGCACTCGGCTGCAGAGAGAAGGGGCGTGAAGGTGAGACTGGAGCTGCCCCCATTACTGATGTGGGCACGCCTGGCTCCAAGCCCAAAGCATCACATCACTGTAGTCCCTCTGCCACTGCAGTGTCAGGAATGCCACCTGGAAGCCCTTGCAGATGGCCACTTGGTCTAGCTAGTTATTTAGGCCATGTGGACTATGTGATTTTAAAAAAATAGATAAATAAAGTTAGAATATCAATTTAAATTGTTTAAAGCCAGTCGCATACCAATAATTGAGAAAAATACTTTTGTCTAGGAAAAACTCAATTACAGCTGGGTGCCACTGGCTCACATCTCTAATCCCAGCCACTGGGAAGGCTGAGATCATGAGGTCATGGTTCCAGGCCAGTCTGGAAAAAACTGTGTGGCATATACACTTGTCATCCAGCTATGGCAGGAAGCTTAGAACAATCACTGGATTGGAGCAATATTTGTACAAAGTCTGAGGAGGACAAGTGAAACAGAAGACTTCTCACTGACATGCAGCGTTCTGCTGCTGGTCACAATTTTCCAGGAACTTCCGAATTGTGAGATAGAGAAGGCTGGCTAACTTATTTGCCTGTATAAATACACTTTGATAATTCTTTTTACATTTTCATAAACTTACTTTTGCAGATATAAAATTAGAGAATTTCATTTGTTCTTTGGAGTCTTTTATTCCATTGTACATCACTACAGATTTTTCACTTTATAGCACAAATTTTTAAGTTGAGAGAACATGGAGAACTTAGCAATTTGGGATGTTTGGTATCACAAACCAAGTGTCAGTAGGTTGAACTACGTCGAAGTAAGTCAGAGTTTCACATCTAATATGATGTGAAGATTTTTTTACATATAAAGCAGATTTTTCTAATTTAAATACCCAAGTGTAAAAATCAAGTGTGTTTCTTTAGGTGTACTTGATAGAAATTTCTGTAAATTGTATTTTGTATCGCAGAGTGTTATATCACTGTACATTAAAACACAGGACTTCATAGGTTTTGTTACTTGAAGTAGAATAAATACCTACAGAGTTAAAAAAAAAAAAACAATAGGATCCAGGCTGACCTTGGCAAAAAGTGAGACCCTAACTCCAAAGTAACCAGAACACAAGAAGGGCTGGAGGCGTGGTCAAATGTGAAGCCTATGTTCACGCCTCAGTACTGGGGAAAGAGGTGGAGATTCAAATATGAACAGTAGCCTCACTGACTTTGGCCCAGTGGCTGCTTCAAATGTGAGATTCAACCCACACGACCCTCCTTGCTACAGCATCTGTTACACCCTACAACCATACTGTCACCAGAGGTCAGAACCACACGTGCCCACTGAGCGCCTGACAGTCTGACATGTGGCTGGCCTGAACTGAAATGTGCTGCAGGTGTAACATACACACCTGATTTTGAAGACTGGGCATAAAAAATTCAAAACAATTCATTAATATTTTCCATACTAACTACATGTTGAAGAAGCGATATACTGGCTTCATACATCATTAAGAATAAACCTCACTTGTTTCCTTTTTTACATTTCATAATGGTTTCTGGAAAATTTAAAACTACACATAGCTGGACCTCTATTTCTGCTGGACAGTGCTGGCCTGGAGGTGAAGTGTTTGGACAACAGAACGGAAGAGGGCAGCTGCCCTCGAGTCACACCCAGCTGAGCCTACGGGAGGAGAGAACAGCCCAACGCACTATTTGAAGCGGAAAGGCCAACAGTGTCCATAAGTCCTACAAACGCCAACAAGAAGCAGAGGACACATGTAGACAAAGCAAGGTAAAAACTGCTGAAACAAAGCATGGGCGAAAACCCAAGCCAGGGAGCAGCCCTGAAACAGACTCTTCACAGCACCAGGGGACTGGCGGCTGCTAGCCTTCAGGACAAGTGGGCAAGACCCAGGACGGCCTCAAGGAAGGTAGAGGAAACTTCCCGCCAAGCTAGAATTTCACCTCAGCAGTCAGCAACTCCAAAACATGCAAGGAGACCATCCCCAGCGGAGACACTTCTAGACAGACCAAAGGCAGATCAGCAGCCCCAACCTAATGTGAACGCAGCTCAGATGGAAGTTCAAAGAAGGAGAAGAGTAACAAATGCCTAACTCGAATAAGACTTTGTTGAATAAAGCAAAATGTCAATCTAATAATCCCCAGCACTGCAAAATGGACAGTCCTGATGACTGTCCTAGGTTTGGGGTAAGCAGAGCTAGAACTTAGGGGTCCTCCTGTTTTCTGAGACAGTCCAAGTGTCAACTGATGGCGCCCACTGAAACACAGACACAGTGCAATTCCCAGGGTAGCTACTCAATAAGAAAGAAAGAAACATCTTCAAAGAGGAGGGAAAGGCAGCTTAAAAATCCAAATTGAGAAAAGCAGCAGAGGCGAGATGAGAAATAAGGCGTTCTCATGGTCAAGTCAGAGCAGCAGACAGATGAGAACGTGCAGTAACAGTGACTAGGGGAGAGGCTCTATCCGAAGATAGGGATTACTGTGATTACTGATGACATGATATTCCCAAAAAACATGAAACCAAGGACACACAATGGCTGTAAGAAGATGAACAAGCGTGATGGGAAATGCCAAAGCGATTCGGACAAGCACAGCGTGGCTGTCAGGTGTGCAGGCGTCAGGACAGAAAGCCGCTCTGTAGGTACCCACACTGCAGGTTACAGTCCCCAGAGACAAGCTATAACGGTGCACAGCCCTGGAGACAGAGAGCAGGAAGCCAGGGAGGCCTCACCCCAGGTTCTTTGCATTCAGTGACAGACAGAGCCCAGGGAAGCACAGCCCATTCAAGGACGTGCAGGACACAGGGCCAACACACGGCAAATCTGAATGAAACACACAGGCGTGTTCTCTAACCACTGCAGAACCAAAGCAACACACTTCCCACTCGTTAAGGCCAGTTATCCCTCAACATAGCCCAGCACGCGAGTACAGTGTCACCTCCCAGCATATGGGACAGGAGGCCACCGGGAGGGTGAAGAACTCAACAGAACAAGCAGCACCCAGGACCACCCAGGCACCCCAGCCAGCATGGCCACCAGATACAGTCACCACCAGCCACCACCCACCTGGCACCAGACCGGAACTCCTTCATGATGGACTCACGCTCCTTCTGGGGCATGTCTCCATGCATTGAGGACACGGTGAAATTGGCTTCTCGCATTTTCTCTGTCAGCCAGTCAACCTACAAATCAAACCAAACAGATGCTACTTGGGAGCTCATCAACCACGCCAGAGGTGTGCACTCAGGGTTTCCCTTCCACACCTGCAGAGGCAACGTGAATATCTAACACAACTGTTCTCACAGATGTGCAGAAAATGCACTGCTGCCCTACACGCTGGGGCTTCCCTGTGAAATTCTCTTAATCCATTCGTTCCATATACTGATGGGGGGAGGAGAGCAAACACAGACCCTTGTCCACCTCTCTTGAAATTTAAACAAACTCCCACTCCTTTTCAGTCTTCTAAAAGGAGGCCAACAGTTCTTAGCTCTGCCCGCATGTTAGCCCCACCTGGGCCTGTGTCTGCCTTAACCCAATAACATCTGAATCCTACGGGTAAGACTAGCGTATCTATTTTCATATATCTATTTACTGTATTTTTATTTTTTTAAGATGGGGTTTCTGTGTTGCCAAGACTGGTCTCAAACACCTAGGCTCAAGCAATCCTCCAGCTTAGCCGCCCCTGTGAACACAGGCCTGCAACTTCACAGGTCTGTTCACACATGAGCAGTCTATGGCAGCTTTTGCACAGGGACCATGCCCCAAGTCCAGCATACACACCGCCTGCCTGCCATCTACAGAGAAGCTAGGCCCCAGTCCTGAAGACCCAAAGACAACAGCAGGGTGGGGCTGCGCACCTTCCTTTTGGTGTTGCAGAAGATGACTGCCTGAGTGATGGTCAGCGTGTCATAGAGGTCACACAGGGTATCAAATTTCCACTCCTCTCGTTCCACTGCCACAAAAAACTGCTTGATGCCTTCCAGGGTCAATTCATCACTAGGGGACAAGGCAAAATGTCACATATCACTCTTCCAAACAGAGCATGGAGATGGGCCACGGGACAGGCTCTGAGAGATGCCAATGGACATGGTCTGAGATGGACATCCCAAAAGTCTGGTCCCCAAAGCCCTGCCCCATCACCCCAGTCAGCCACATCATCCTACCCCGTCACTTGTACATGTTGGGCTTTCCTGAATAGTTGTACAACCTTGAATGGGGTTCCAGAAAACACACTGCTAACAAACTTGTGTAATTTGGAACTATGGGTCAAAGGAGAATGGGTACTGTCAACGCTAGTCTTTCACAAAAGGAAACTGAGTGGGCACACATTCCTACCGCTTCACCAGGATGCGGATGGGGTCTGTCATGAACTTGTTGGTCATCTCCAGGATCTCATGAGGCAGCGTGGCACTGATGAGGACTACCTGTGTGGCTGGAGGCAGGTACCTGTACACGTCGTAAATCTGCTCTTTGAAACCTGGGAGAAGATGGGCAGTGGCTGTAAGGCTGTCTCTAGTAGAAAGGGAGGTCTAGACTCTTACACCCCATCACCTCCGCCTTCTGGAATGTGTTCTCTACTAAAGTTACTAAAACCAACTTCTACTTCACACAGATGTTTTTTGCAACAACAATTTAGTTTTTCTTCCTAATTTCTTCCAAAAAAGAGAGACCTGTGGTTTTAGGACAAATTCATTGACATTCACATCAATATTCCCTTCTCCTACAGTCAGTACAAGCATTTCCATGAGCTATACCGAAACTCAGGCATCAGTCACCTGTGCTGACCCACAACAGTGCGCAATGTGTGAGCAGTGTTGGCTGAAACATTGTCACTTTGCTTGGGATTAGTCTTATAAAGCCCTCCCACAACAAAATAAAGTAAGGATTTTATGTTCATAACTGCCTGAGACACAACTGCTTCTCCACAAAGAAAACACTACAAATATTCAAATGCTTTCGTTATGTACGCATTTCAATTGTATGCCATGAAGTCTGAAGAGCTAAGACCCCTGTCAGGAGAAAAGGTCTATGCTTATACCTTTATTCAACATTTCGTCAGCCTCATCCAAAACCAACATCTTGATAGCCCGTGTCCTTAAACTTCTGCGTCGAATCATGTCTACAAAAGCAGAATTTGAGGTTATCACACATGAGGCTGTAAGGAAAGAGCCAGCCATTCCAACTGGTCCTCGCAGTCTTTCGGAGACCACCCCAGACTGGCAACTGCCCACAGACTACCCACAGCACAATTCTCACTGATGGAAAGGCTTACCAAAGACGCGCCCTGGCGTGCCTGCGACAACGTGCTGCCCATAGTCCAGCTTCCTTATGTCCTCCCCGACGTTGGTGCCCCCGATGCAGGCATGGCACTGCACATTCATGTAGTCCCCCAGAGCGAGCAGGCCCTGGACCAAAACACAGGCTCATGTCAGGGAGCTACCAGACATACACATCATCTGTCCAAAAGTGAAGGTCATTTCATTCCAACTTGAAAGGTCCACCATAATTATTTTAGGCCACTATTCACACCATAAACCACAAATTCTCTTCTACTTTCCTCTGCCAAATGAAGTCAATTGAGAATTTATTATAAAAGCAAAGCATATGAATTAAAGAACAATCAGAAGATAAATACAATCCTAATCCTATCCACCCTATGTCAGTATTAACTTCCTACTAAGTGTCCTTCCAAATCATGAGTATAAAATATTTAATTAAAATGGACTTTTTGATTAAGAAAGTTACATCTCTAAGACTACAAAAATATATATATTGAAGACTACAGTAAAAACAACTTAATGCAAACCAGCAAGTCACATAAGGATTTATGGCAACTGTTAAGAGACCAGCTGTCAAAAATGCACAAAGCTGTGTTCAATCCCCAGCACCACAAAAAAACAAACAAAAAAGCTAGGAATCAGGAAAAATATCTTGAAGGACCAGAAAGACAGCATTATTTATGCGAGTCAGTTTTACAACTAAACCATACAAGCAGCACTTGTGAATATACCACCATCCCACCATCTTTAATTATCTCACCTTTTGAATCTGTACAGCTAACTCTCTTGTTGGAGCCAAGATCAAAGCTTGGGTTTCTCGAACCTAGTGAATAATTAGAAAAAAAAAAGAGAGAGAGAGAGAGAGAGAACCCCAAGTGTTTTTTAAAATCTTTTAAAAGTACCGTACGTTAATTGTACAAAATAATGGTTCACCGTGGCATTTCCGCACATGCATATAACACACTTTGTTATATTCACCCCATTACCCTCGTCTCCCTCCCTCTGATCCCCTTCCTCTTCCCAAATAGTCTTTCTGCTACTTCCAGGTCTTTTTTTTTTTTTGGAGGACTGGGGTTTGAACTCAGGGCTTTGCACTTCCAAATCAGGTGCTCTACCATTTGAGCCACACCTCAAGTTCTGCTCTGGTTGTCTGCAATCTCCTGAACTATGTTTTTTTGCTTTATTTTGCAGTACTGGGGTTTGAACTCAGGGCCTACACCGTGAGCCACTCCACCAGCCATTTTTTTGTGTGTGATGGATTTTTTTCGAGATAGTGTCTCACAAACTATTTGCTCGGGTTGGCTTCAAACCGCGATCCTCCTGATCTCTGCCTCCTGAGAATCTTTTAAAAGTACCGTACGTTAATTGTACAAAATAATGGTTCACCGTGCATTTCCGCACATGCATATAACACACTTTGTTATATTCACCCATTACCCTCGTCTCCCTCCCTCGATCCCCTTCCTCTTCCCAAATAGTCTTCTGCTACTTCCAGGTCTTTTTTTTTTTTGGAGGACTGGGTTTGAACTCAGGGCTTTGCACTTCCAAATCAGGTGCTCTACCATTTGAGCCACACCTCAAGTTCTGCTCGTTGTCTGCAATCTCCTGAACTATGTTTTTTTTATTTTGCAGTACTGGGGTTGACTCAGGGCCTACACCGTGAGCCACTCCACCAGCCATTTTTTTGTGTGTGATGGATTTTTTTCGAGATAGTGTCTCACAAACTATTTGCTCGGGTTGGCTTCAAACCGCGATCCTCCTGATCTCTGCCTCCTGAGTAGCTGGGATTACAGACGTGAGCCACTGGGGCCCGGCTGAAATCTCTTGAACTATTTGTCCAAACTGGTCTTGAACTTCCGATCCTCCTGATCTCAATTTCTCAAGTAACTGGGATTATAGACATGAACCACTGGTGCCAAGTTATATCTTCTTTTTTAAAATCTAGATTTCACATATGAAAAAACATGCAATATTTATCTAAGTCTGGTTTATTTGGCTTAACATGATCTCCAGTCTCAGCAGTTTTAATGTGGCTTATAGTAACTCACACTCAGCTCTACTGTAAATATCACCATATTATTAATTATACCTTTGATTTCCAACAGAAGCAAATTTTAATGTTACTTAAATTGTAAATCTAGCAATAACATGACATATAAGTCAGGATGCTTATGTACAGAGAACTTCCTCTAGTTTAAAAAACCCTCCTATGCAGGGTAGCACACACCTGTAATCCCAACACTTTGGAGACAAGAGGCAGAAGACTGCAAGTTCAAAGTCAGCCTGGGCTACCTAGTGAGACCTAGTCTCAAAAGAAAAAAAAAAAAAAAACACCCTAACAGAAGGTCTGAAGGTGCAGCTCAGCGGTAGAATGCATGCCTAGCATGCCCAAGGGCTGGGTTCAATTCCAGTACAACATCAAAACCCTCCAAGTTTAAAAAGAGAGGATTCTATGCCAGGATATTTGTGTGTAATTAAGATTTCCTTTTAAGATGCTGAGTGGAACAAGCTCGAAATTTAAATTATGATCATTGAACACTGCATTGTAGAAGAAAAGCAATGCAGATTTAGAGCGTTTGCTTTGAGAGCAGCAACTCACCTGAATGTCCAAACACTGGAGGACCGAGATACTGAAGGTGGCTGTCTTGCCTGTGCCAGACTGAGACCTGTTTAAGAGAGCAGACAGGAGGACTGGAGAGAGGGCCCACGCCACTATCCCAACCCCACGGCCCCTCCACCTGGTTCTCCAAAGGTCTAGCTCCAGAAGACCTGCGCAGCTTCTTCCAGAAAATGCCCCTCCATCCCCAGTACCACCTCCAACTCCAACTGCGAGGGTATAGACTCAAGTAAAGTCACAGCTGTCCGTCTCCACAGATGAGACGGACATATCCACAGGTGACAGTGGATATGGCGTCTGCATCAGGGCCAAAGAATCTGTAACAAGTGTTTTATAGGTGGCAGGAAAGGGGGACTCTTCTTTACATAAATACAACTGTTTTCTAAAATTTTAGGCTGAAACTGGCCTCCAAAAACCTTTTTTTTTTCTGCATGGCACTGAGAATTGAACTCAGGGCCTCGCCCTTGCTACACAAATGTCCACCACTTGGGCCACAGCACAGTCCTCTCAAAACTTTTTCAAATAGGTGAGTCTTTTTCAAAACAAAGCAAATAAGGACCAAAAGTGTAAGTCAGTGGTGGAGGGCCTGCCTAGTATGCAGGAGGCCTGGGTTATGTCCCCAGTCTGGAGGGGGGAATGAATAATACTACTATTAAAATAAAAGAGTATTACATACAAACCAACATGCTGACTGACAGCTGAGCAAAGCTGGCTAAAAACCAAAAACTTTCTCTAGTCGAGAACACAAAAATAAAAAGAGTAAAGCCCTGGGGCTAAAGAAAAGGAGAGG